CCCTCCAGGGACAGTGCAGAGGCTTCGGGAAGTTCCGGGTGGCCGCTGCCTGCAAGTGCCCCTTCCTGCTGCCCTCAGGGCCGGGTGAGCACCAGGGCTGCAGGGAAGCGGCTAACTCAGTTCCCAGAGGTTTGCAGGTGAGTCAGGCACTGAGGCCAAATCTGAAAAGGACCCCACCAGTGGTGGCTCTGGAGGCTGTGGGAAGTGAGGGGAGAGGAGTCATGCAGGTGGAGACCCCCTGGAGGGATGAGAGGGCCACTGACTTTGTCTGCCAGGTGGGAGGGGTCCAGCAGGCCTCCTCTGGCCAGCACCCTACTCACAGGTTGAGGGTGAAAGCCCCAGCCGTGGGCACCAAGGTGGCCAACGGCGACCTCAGGCCTCAATCAGCTCCCGCTGGACACTGGCCCCACAGCCTCCTCCCAGGACACGGGACCAGTACCAGGGGTGCTGGGCAGGTGTGGGAGCTGTGGGTGCACCTGTCTCCTGGCTGCCTCAGGCATCTCTCTGGCCTTCACCTGTGGTCTTGATGCCCACAGCTCTGAGAGCAGATGCTGCAGGGCCTCAGGTATCCCCCACTCACGATGCCCCCCGCTTTCCCCACGCCGTGATCAGTGAGCAGGTGGTTTGCAGGCGTGACCTGGTCTGTGACCTTTATGCTGGTGATTCAGAGCCGTGCGGGCCAGAACATCTGCAGGGGCGCGGCTCCCGCATCCTCCTGGGCTGCCCAGGCCTCTGAGCGGGGCTGGGCCAGCCTCACGGACCAGGCTCACAGGGGTGCAGCCACAGCGAGACGCTGGAGTCACTGCTGGAGGTGTGGGATTTAACAGCTAAGTCACATGCAGTGATTTAAATCAAATAAAATTAGTTAAATAAAAAAAATTCAGTTATGGGGCATGGCAGCCCATGCATGTGGTCGCAGCTACTCAGGAGGCTGAGGCAGAAGAATTGATAGCTAAAGCCTGGGAGGTGCACTCCAGCTCGGACAACAGAGATTGACCCTGTCTCTGGTGGAGACACTGGCCAGAGGGGCCCACCAAGCCATCGGTCATAGGGTGGAATGTTTCTGTATCTCCACAGGCTATGAGAACAGCTGTTAAGTGAGGAGTGGTGGCTCACGCCTGTAACCCCAGCACTTTGAGAGGCTGCGGCAGGAGGACTGCTTGAGCCCAGGAGTTTGAGACCAGCCTGGGCAAGGTAGCAAGACCCCATCTCTACAATACAACAAAACAGTAAAAGGTGCAAACCTCACCTCCATTGGGATGGCAATACTGAAAGAATAAATAAAAAACAACCCAGAAAACACCCAGTGTGGCGGGGAGGCGAAGCTGGGGGTGCTCTGGGGACCCTTGGTGGCAACGCAGAATGCTGCAGCTGCTGTGGGAAGGAGCTCGGTGGCTCCTCCAAAAACTGAACATGGAATTGGCGCACAAATTCCCCTTCTGGGTACACAAAGAACAGAAGATAGGGTTTCTGAGATGTTTGTACATTCACGAGCACAGCGGCGTCAGAGACGTGAAGGCAGCATAACTGTCGGATGAACAACGAAGACGTGCTCCCTCCACCCGTGGAGTGTGATTCAGCTTCAGAAAGGAAGCAAATCCCGCCACACGCCACAGCGTGGGTGAACCTAGAGGTGGTCACGCTGGGCAAAACCAGCCAGGCGCAGCGGAAAGATCGTCTTCTGTGTGTTATCTGGAGCGGTCAGATTCATAGACAGAGAGCAGAAGTGTGTTTACCAGGGGCTGGGGGAGGAGAGGTGCAAGCTGGTGTTGAAGGGACGAGTTTCAGTCTGGAAGGTGGGGTGAGTTAAGGAGGTGGATGTAGTGACGGCCGCACAAGCCTGTGAACGTCCGGGACACCAGTGACCTGTGCACTTAGAAGTGGCTGCGATGGCAGTTATGTCATGTCAGATGCATTTTACTACAATTTTTAAAAAGAGGCAAATCTGCTGTCCAGGGGGCCCCTATTGAGACCACAGGGGCACTGATTTGAGGAGAGGTCTTGGGGGACCCTGTCCTACCCTAGATCAGTCATGGGGCAAGATGAGCCTAGCCTAGCGCCTGGTCCAGGGGTCTGCGTACACCTGGCCATACGCAGAGGACCCCCCAGCCTAGGACAGATGGCACTAGCAGCTGGGGCCTTGCTGCTGCGTCAGCTAGAGGGACCTCAGGAAGAGCAGGCAAGTGTAAGGACGCTAAAGAAACCAGCTAAGGGCCTGGACGAGCTGGGCAGCTGTGCTCAAACCCTGGCCCCATTAAACAGCACACAGGAGACTCATCCTGCTATATCCATAGAGCCAGCTATTTATTTTGGAGACAGGCTTTTGCCCAGGCTAGAGTGCCTCCTGCAATCACAGCTCACTGCAGTTTCGGCCTCCGGGGCCAAAGTGATCCTCCTGTCTCAGCCTCCAGTGAAGCTGGGACTACAGGCGCGTGCCACCGTGCCCAGTTAATTTTTGTATTTTTTGTGGAGATGGGGTTTTGTCATATTGCCAAGGCTGGTCTCGAACTCCTGAGCTCAAGTGATTCTCTTGCCTCAGCCTCCCGAAGTGCTGGGATTACAGGTATGAGCCAACACACTCAGCCCCTAAATTGATCCTGAACAGCCAAAATACACTCCCTGCACCAGATCACAAAGTATTAGAGATCCAGGGCCTGTGTGTTCAGATTCATTATTCTGATACCGGGCTCAGGAGGATCATGGCACGTGCCCCTCACCCTACTGCCTGAGTAGGAAGGCAGATGAATTCTGCTTGGTGCCCCTAAATCACTCCCGCTTGGAGAGGGCAGAGTGTCCAGTATCCCGGCGAGAGGGCAGCACAGCCCCACACTTAGGGTGTTGGTGCGTTTGCTGGGATGTGGCCGAAGGGACCTGGGTGTGCTGTCAGGCGTGAGCTGGAGTGACGGAGTGTAACGCAGGGTGTACTTCAGCTGTTTCAGACCCCATGGGGCCCCCAGCCTGTGACTCTGACCTTTGGGGGCTGTGTACGTGAGGGGGGATGCTTACCAGCTTGGAGATTCTCAGGAAACGCAGCAGGGTGGAGCTGAGGACAGACGTCTTTTTTTTTAGTCAAGGCGTCACTTTGTTGCCCAGGCTGGACCAGCAGTAGCCCAGTCACAGCTCACCCAGCTCCTTTGCTCAAGCCTCCTCCCACCTGTTTGCCCAAACAGTTGAGATTACAGGTGCATGGCACCATGCCCAGCTAATTTTGTGATTTTTAATAGAGATGTGGTCTTGCCATGTTGCCCGTGCTGGTTTTGAACACCTAAGCTCAAGTGATCCTTCTGCCTCTCTGCCTTGGCCTCCCAAAATGTTGGGATTACAAGCGTGAGCCACTGAGCCTGGTCCAGAGTGCTGTGTTTTTTTTTGAGACAGTCCTGCCTGTTGCGCGCTGGAGTGCAGTGGTGTGATCTCGGCTCACTGCAACTTCCGTCTCCCGGGTTCAAGTGATTCTCCTGCCCCAGCTCCTGAGTAGCTGGGATTTCGCACACGCCCGACTAGTTTTTCTACTTTTAGTACAAACAGGGCTTCACCACGTTGGTCAGGCTGGTCTCGAACTCCTGACCAAGTGATCCCCCCCACCCCCACAACCAGGCCTCCTAAAGTGCTGGAATTACAGTGATGAGCCGGCGTTTCGCTCTCGTTACCCAGGCTGGAGTGCAATGGCGCGATCTCGGCTCACCCCAACCTCCGCCTCCTGGGTTCAGGCAATTCTCCTGCCTCAGCCTCCTGAGTAGCTGGGATTACAGGCACGCGCCACCATGCCCAGCTAATTTTTTGTATTTTTAGTAGTGACGGGGTTTCACCATGTTGACCAGGATGGTCTCGATCTCTTGACCTCGCGATCCATCCGCCTCGGCCTCCCAAAGTGCTGGGATTACAGGCGTGAGCCACCGCGCCCGGTGTCTGGCCTGTTTTAAATGAGGAGTCAGTTCCTGGAGGCGTGGTCTCGAAGGACTCCCCTCACACCCGGACAAGGTGTTCATTCCCAGGAGCTGCCATCAGCGCCTGCAGGACCTATTCTTCCGGGTACTCAGAAAAGCAAGTGCGGAGGAGGCTCCAACCCTGCCACCCACGGGGACCCCCAGCCCCATTTAGCTGCAGGCCCAGGGCAAGCCGCTTGTCTTCCCGGATGGGCCTGCTAATTTGCGGGCATTGTTATGCTAGCGAATTCCTCCAGGCTACATTTGTTATCTCCGGCTCCACCCAATCCGCCTTCTGACTGAGGGGCCCTCAGACGGCCACTTGGAAAGATGCCTCCTGAGCAGGTGTGCTCAGTTTCCTCAAAACTGCAAGGACCCTGCCCTCAGATCACACCCTAGCCGCTCAGCGCTGCGCGGGGCCCACCCAGACCAGAACCACCTCCCCGGAGCTGCGTGGCTCCTCCTCCTCCTCCTTTGTTTCCGAGGACCCGGGAGAGGTCAGCAAGGTGGCTCCCGACTGCCCGAGGCTATGGGAGGGCCTTGGAACGCCCCGTGCTACTGCGGGGTCAGTGGGAGTTCTCTGCTGGGCAGCTTGGAGGCCGCCTCCTCCCGACCCCTGTACTGAGTCAAGAGGTGGGGTCAGCCTCAGTTTCTCTCCATAACTTCAGCGGAGCCCACCCTCCCCCTCTGTCTGTCTTAGTGGGGCTCCCCAGGTGGAGCAGGGAGTCTGTTGTGGCCCTGAGAATGGCGTGTGTAACCAGGACCCAGCGGCAGGCACCGTGCCCACCACCCCCCAGGTGGCCTCCTGGGGCTACATTTGAGTGAGCCCCACGGAGCTCCGTCCACGCCTCAGGAGCCAGTGGGACTCCCTCCCTGTGATGAGGGCGCTGGAGCCCTGCCCTGCCCTTTGCAGCCCCTGCGCTCCCTCCCAGCATGGAGACCCGCACCCCTTAACAGCCCAGAGTCTAGGAAAACAACGCTTTTATTGAACATACCTAGGAGTGGGGGTGGGAAGGAAGCAGGAGGGATCACGGCGGAGGGGCCGGGCCTGGAGAGGGGAGCTGGCTGCCGCGGGCGTCACTGGCACGGGTCCCTGAAGACCCCTCGCTCGGCGGCCGCACTGCCCAGGATGAAGCCCACGGCCAGGGACACGGTCTGGTCGAAGGCGCCGCGCAGCTGCTCCACGTGCTGGTTCAGGGTCAGCAGCTGGTCGCGCAGCGGGCCCAGGATGCCCACGATGTCGCCCAGGTGCCCCAGGGTCTGCAGCAGGGCGGCGTTCAGCGACGGGGGAGCGGCCAGGAGGGGGCGCGCGGTCCTCCGGGCGGCCGGGCGGCGAGTCGGGGTCCTCGCGGGTCGGGTCGGGGGCTGGCGGCGGTGGGGAACTGGGGCCGCGGACGGGCGCGCGGTCCTCTGGGAGGCAGGTGGCGAGGGCTGTCGGGGCGGGGATTGGCGGGGAGGCCGGGGCGCGGGCGACATCCGCAGACTTCGGCGGGGACGGGCTGAAGCGGAGCCTCCAGGTAGGGTCCGCGTCGGCCGGCAGCTGTCCGGCGCCTGGGAACGCGGAGCGGGCGGTCGGGTACGGGTCCGGGGGCGCGCCCGCCCCTCCCCCCGCCGCCCCCGCAGCCCCCCGTCCCCCGCCTACCTGGTGCGCTCGGAGCGAGGGCGGGCGCGCTGGGGGCAGGGCGGCGGCCGCGCTGGGGGCGCCCGGGTCCCGGGGAGCGGCGGCGGGGCCGTTTGCGCCCGTTGTCGCCCAGCAGCCCCATGAGCTGCCTGATCTGGTCGTCGAAGGGCCCGGACGGCTGGCCGTGCGCCTCGCGGAACTTGTCCTTGAGGAACTTGTAGCGGCGGCGGCACTGCGCGGGGGTGCGGCGCACCTGCTGCCGGGCCAGCGCGGCCGACACGCGGCGGTAGGTGGGCAGCGCCTGGCGGCGGTCCAGGAGCAGCGCGCGCCACACGCCCGGCTCCAGCAGCGTGTCCAGCAGCAGCTCCGTCTCCCGCGCGCTCCAGGGCGTGCGCTGCGCGGAGCCCGGGGAGACCGGCGACATGACCTCCCCCAGCGCGCTCGGCGAGGCGGGCCTCCCGGGCGGGGTCGCCGGGGCGTCTCCGGGAGGCCGCGGCTCGCGGTCGGGGCTGGTCGGCGACAGTGGCGCGGGGGGCGCGAGGGGCGGCGGCCGCCGGGGCCGGAGCAGCATCCCGGGGCCGGGGCGCGGCGCGCTAGGATTCAGTGCCGCGGCTGGAGAAAGGAGGCGGGAAACGCGCTCTGAGACTCCGGCGCCGTGGTCCCGTCGTCCAAGGCGGGTCTACGCGACCCTCCCACCGCCGGCCGCCCCGCCCCGCCCCGCCCCGCTCGCCCCGCCCCTCCACTCCGCCCGCCGGGTCTTAAGGGGTCTATCGCGGCGCATCGGCTGGGGGCCTGGGCCGAGAAGACTGAAGGCAGAGCGCAGCCGTCGTCGGAAAGGGAGAATCCGCAGCGGTTCTGCTTTTAAAGCCGTTTACGGAGGTGCCACCTGGCCGCCCCGCCCCCGACCGCCGGCCGCTCCATGCGTTTTTACGCACGTGCCGGCCTTTCCCGCCTCCCACGTCCAGGGGTGCGCGGAGCCCCTCCCGCTCCAGAAGGTGCCGGCGCCCCTGCGTCCCGCCCCCTGTGCCGCCCCCGCCGCCCCCGCCCGGATTCAGCGCCTGCCCCGAGGGGTCCCGGGTCTCCATCCCGATCCCGGTCCGGAGCGGTGCCTGCGGGTCCAGAGGCCGGGTCGGAGGAGAAGCCGCAGCCAGGTGCGGGAACGGGTGTGGGAATTCACGCGCTCTGCAGAATCTGAACTTCTTCAATCTGCAGCGCGTCTGCAGCCCACGTCCCCGGGACAGGAAACGCTGTTCCGTGCGCCACGCAGCGCGGTGTTCCTCCGTCTCCTGGTCCGTGGCAGTTTCTCGCGTCTTGGACACTGGGGAGGACTGGCCGGGTGTTTAGTTGACTGTTTCTCGGCTTGGGTTTGCCTGGTGTCTTCCTGCGGCCAGACTGGGGCGCTGGGTTTTTGGGAGGGAGGCGCAGAGGTCGGGGGCCGGTCTCGCCCCTCCGGTCCTGTGGTTCAGCCCCGGCGAGGTCCACTACGCGCTTAGGTGGGGGCGTCTGCTGGCCTCACTCTTCAGCTGCCGCCTCTCCGTCCCTGCTGTGGTCACTGGAATCCGGTCCCCAAGTCAATCCCCAGCTCATGGGGAGAGTATCTGGCCCCGCCTCCTGGAGGCCTGTCTGTATTTTCTGGGATTCTGGGGAGGCTGGCCTCCCCGGCCTGTTGATTTATCTGCTCAGTCGTTTATTTCTACAGTGTGGGCTGGTGTATGTTTATTTTATTTTTTAGGTCATAAACCGATGATGCTGTTACTTAATTATTTTAAAAGTTCTGCTTATTTTTATTGTTTCTGGAGTGCAGTCGCACGATCACAGCTCACTGTAGCCTTGCACTCTTGGGCTCAAGTGATCCTCCAGCCTCAGCTTACTCAGTAGCTGGGGCTACAGGTGTGCACCACCACACCCAGCTAGGTTGTTTACTTTTTGTAAAGACAGAGTCTTGCTTTGTTTTCCAGGTTCACCTTGAACTCCTGGGCCCAAATGATCCTCCTGCCTGGGCCTCCCAACGTGCTGAGATTACAGGCCTGAGCCCCAGCGCCTATTTTTTTTGCTCAGATTGTTCCAGCTTTGGCCATTGAGACTCTTCTCACTGCTTCCTCTCTTCCTGTGTCCTGTTGAAACCCCAATTCCAGCTCCCTGGCACAATAGGATGCTCCTGTCTCATGTGGTGCTTTGCCAACCCTGGCCTTAGAATCAGCTTTTCAGACATTTCTCCAGAAATCTGTGGTTCCTGGCCAGGCGCTCATATAGGGGGCTCATGCCTGTATTCCCAACACTTTGGGAGGCTGAGGCAGGCAGATCTCCCAGGCTCAGGAGTTTGACAGTGACCTGAGCAATAAAGTGAGACCCCCATATCTGCACACAAATTAAAAATAGCCGAGTGTAGTAGCATGTGCCTGCAGTTCCAGCTATGTGGGGAGCTGAGGCAGGAGGATGTCTTTTTTCTCAGGAGATGAAGCCTGCTGTGAACCATGATTGCCCAGCTGCACTCCAGCCTGGGTGACAGAGCAAGACTCTGTCTTAAAAAAAAAAAAAAGGTTGGGTGTAGGGGCTGACGCCTGTAATCCCAACACTTTGGGAGGCAGAGGTGGGAAGATCACAAAGTCAAGAGATCGAGACCATTCTGGCCAACATGGCGAAACCCCGTCTGTACTAAAAGCACAGAAATGAGCTGGGCATCGTGGTGTGCGCCTATAGTCCCAGCTACTCCGGAGGCTGAGGCAGGAAAATCACTTGATCCTGGGAGGCAGAGGTTACAGCAAGCCCAGATCATGCCACTGCACTCCAGCCTGGGCAACAGAACAAGACCCCGTCTCAAAAAAAAATTTAAAAAGGCCGGCATGGTGGCTCATGCCTGTAATCCTAGCACTTTGGGAGGCCGAGACGGGCGTATCACCTGAGGTCAGGAGTTCAAGACCAGCCTGGCCAACGTGACAAAACCCTGTCCCTACTAAAAATACAAAAGTTAGCAAGGTGTGGGACGGGTGCCTGTAATCCCAGCTACTTGGGAGGCAGAAGCAGAATTGCTTGAACCTGGGAGGTGGATCACAAAAAAAAAAAAAAAAGATTTTTAATAACACGATTGAGGGTGCTAGCGACATCTGATGGGTGGAGATCAGAGATGATGGTGCCTGGGACCCCAGTGCAGACCGGCCAGCTCACAGTGGCAGCTGCGGTGCACAGCCGGGAAGCCTGTCAGGAGCCCTTTCGAGACAGAGCGGGCAGTGTGTGGTGTGGGCTGGCCTTGGATGCACATGTGTGACCCTCGTTAGACACACGAGCTCATCGGGGCCTCTGACTCTCCTTCCCCGCTTGCTTTTCTGGAACTGCTTTCTTGGGCACAGTGGGGGGCCTGGCTCCCGCACATACAACGGATTCGTTGTTCACCCCTGACGTGCGAGAAGCTGGCTTCGGAATTGCCGACGGTGTGCCTCTGAGAAGCAGGTTTGCTGCCAGAGTGCGATGTCTGTGCGTGGGCCTCCGGCCTTGCCTTGGCTTCCCTGGTTACGGAGCTCAGCCCACTCCGGTTAGTGAGGTGGTGTCACCCACCGGCTGTCGGGGCCGCAGGTCAGTGCCTCCCCTCTGCCCTGGGGTTCCCCACATCCTGCTCACCAGACAGTTCTAGGGTTTTGTTGGTGGATTTTTCAGGTTGTTAAAATTTATTGAATGTACCGTGCCGAAACTCGGAGTTAAAGATCCCCTTTTTTCGAAAATAATTCCAGAATTTGGGGGTGCGGCCCAGTTGAAGGCTGACCTGGGTCACCCTGTCCCTGGTCATTGCTGACCGGCTGGTCCAGGGGCAGACATCTGGCCCAGGCTGGAGCCATCTGAGTCCTTCGCTAAGATTTGCCAAACCGAACGCCAGGAGGGGCGTCCCGGCTGCGCGAGCTTTTGACAAAGGCAGAGAGTTGTGCAGCTGCTACCCGGAACCATACGGAACAAGCCATAAACAGAAAAACCATAGAGAACAAGCCATAAACACGGAAGAGACGTGGCCTCTGTGAAGTGTGGCGTGTGAAGGGCAGATGAAGCTGTGCGGAGACGCTCACGTGCTTGGCCACAAGAGACCGAGGACCTGGGGCCGGGAACCCTCGTCAGTGCCCGCAGGAGCGCACGTGGTGCAGGCCCTGTGGGGAATGGGCCTGCCGTGACACCCCACACGCTCCGACGGGCCTGCCGCGACACCACACGCTCCGACGGGCCTGCCGTGTGACCCCACACGTTCTAACGGGCCTGCCCTGACACCCCACACGCTCCCGACGGGCCTGCCGCGACACCACACGCTCCGACGGGCCTGCCGTGACCCCACACGCTCTAATGGGCCTGCCGTGTGACCCCCACACGCTCTAACGGGCCTGCTGCGACACCCCACACGCTCCGATGGGCCTGCCCTGACACCCCACATGCTCCCGACGGGCCTCCCGTGACACCCCACACACTCCCGACGGGCGTGCTGAGGAGAAGCTGGGACGGACGGGAGGCGCGAGTGCAGACACACGGTGGGAATTCCCACCCGCCTCGTGGCGCCCTGTGAATGTGGATGACGCTGGAGCAGCGGGACCTCTGTGGTCAGCGGGTGAGCGGGCACTGTCGCACTCCACAGCCCGGGAGAGGACCACACGGGCGGGAGCCACAGCCGTGAGGCTCACGGGGTCGCTGGCTGTCAGTTCTCCAAGGGAAAAGTCCTGTGCTCCGTGGAGCTACGTTTATCAGAGCCACTGCCACGGGGGGTCTGGCCGGCGCACCCCGGGGGGCGGACACACAGGGACCCAGGGCCACCTGCCTGGCGCAGCTCCCGCCCGTCACGCAGGACTCCACCGTCTCCCGGTCTTCAGGCTTTTCCTGGGCATTCCTCCAGCCAGGTAACCTCGCGGTTCATCACAGGAACCCACCAGCTCTTTCGCAGAAGCATCCACCGCTTACACCCAGAGCCACCTGACGCCCTGCCTTGAGCCCCTCCCTGCGTGGTGTCCACCAGTCTTAAACTGTGACAGCGGTGACAGTGTCCTTTCCAGGCTAGACACCCCACCTACAGGAGATTTCCCCCCAGGCCTCCCTCTCGGCTGCAGCGAGCTTGCCCTGTGATGACGGGGACCCAGCCCTGTGATGACGGGGACCCAGCTCTGTCTTGCCCACAGGCTGTTGGTGATGTCTGAGCTGCCCGCCGGCAACCGGCTGGGATGGGCAGAGTTTAGGGTAAGTTGACCCAAGAACTGCCGTGGGTTTGTGCAAATAGCTTGAAAGAACTGACAGACGCCTGTCCTGATTTTGGATGAAGACACCGCTCGTCCAGTGTGAGGGACGTCTTTTTCGTCAACGGAAGGGCAGGTGTGGATGTGCTCACGTGCACACGAGCGTTTCAGGGCATCTGTCCTTCCAGGCTATTTGCAGTCTTCACCGAAACAAGGGTTTCCTGCTCCAGTGGCACACGCCTGCTCGTTCCCATGGCTGGGGCACTGTGAAGCATCTTTTCTCCTGGCAGGGCCTGAGTTCCGACACACGGGCAGAGCCAGGCCTTTCTCAAGGCATCGGAGGGTGTTGCTGCGGACCGGCAGGTCGGGTTTCAGTCCTGGGTCCAGTGCGTCACACGCCTGGAGTCCTGGGGCACTGGTAAGGCGTCTTCGCGGGGCCGTGAAGGAAACCAGCTCAACCTGCAGAGGTCACTTTGGGGACCCACAGAGTGACCACACCACAGAGGATCGGTAGAAAGGACTTTATTTAGAAATCGGTGCTACAGCACCAGGAGCCATGCAGACAGTGGAGCTGGAGCCTGAGCCGGCTGTCCCCCGGAAGTAAGTCCTGACCTGGGACCCCCCGGGAAGTAAGTCCTGACCTGGGCCCCCGGGAAGTAAGTCCTGACCTGGGCCCCCCCGCCGCCCCCATGAAGTAAGTCCTGACTGAAGGAGCATTGATCTGCACCCGACACTCTGTTGAAGACTGAATCTGATAATTCGGGCATGGGTCAGCAGAACATAATCCTCATAGAAAACCCTAAGAAAAAGCGGACGTGAACTGCGTCTGCATTTCCGTTTGCGTGGCCAGGACGCCAGCTTCCTCCTGTGTTACGTTGAAGCAGGGCCCAGGTGTCGCCAGGGAGTTTATGTGGGAAGCACATCTTGACATGAAAAATGCAGCGTTTTGTCGCAAGTGACAGTTTTCCCAGAAATGCCACTAGCTGGTTGCTCTAAGGAATGACTTTCTAAAACTCAAAAGCACAGCCCTGGGTCTTGCGGTGACTGCCACCGTGAGAGCCACGGAGCCGGGGTGGTGCTCGGGGCTCCGGCCACCTGGCCACAGGCCAGCGTGGGTCCCCATGCCCCGGCTGCGGGCTCCACACCAGCTGCCCAGGGTCCAAAAACCTGCCTCCTCTGGTGAAGTGCAAGTGTGTGGCAAGCTGCAGAGGCCACGGGCGGGGTGGCGGACAGGCCGTGGAGGCTGCAGGCCTTGCACGTGCATGGCTGTGGAGACCGAGGGTAGCAGTGGCCTCTGGGGTAGGAGATGGGCAGGGGCACTCTCTGGGTCACCGCCGCAGAGCCTGCACCTTGGAGCTGCTGTGAGGTCCTTTCTAGGAGGCAGGGCTTTGCCCAGGGTGGGGGGCTGCCTCACACCAGCTGTTCTAAGCTGGGGGCCCTGAGCCATGGGTGAGGGGCCAGCCCAAGGTGCTTGCTCCAGCAGGAGGCCTCAGGCACCTGGGGGTCTGGGCTGGGGAGGGGCACCAGGCAGGGGAAGGGAGGAGGGGGTCCTGGGTGTGGGTGGGGGATGAACGCAGGCAGGGTCTCAGACAGGAGGTCTCAGAGCCCGGGAGCTTCCGTTGGCATGGAGGTCTCAGAGCCCCCCCTCCCTGGGGGCTGAGGTTGGCATGAGGTCTCAGAGCCCCTCCCCCCTTGGAGCTGTGGGTGGCATGGAGGTCTCAGAGTTCCCCCTCCCTGGGAGCTTCTGTCAGCATGGAGGTCTCAGAGCCTCCCCCCGCCACCACCGACCCCGGGAGCTATGGTCAACACAGAGATTGAAAGGCCCACAGCTTGCGGTTGGCATGGAGCTCGGAGGTCAGCTTTGGTCCTCGGTTGCTCAGCCGACCTAGGCTGGCCCAGAAACCCGCTCAGGGAGCAGCTGCTCTGAAGTTAGCAGAGTCGAGGTGGGGGCTGTCGCTGTTTGGTGGGGGAATTGCCGGAACTGGGTAAGAGCCACTTATCTGTGTGTGAGAGGCGCAGACAGGCACACAACTCCTGGGAACTTCAGTCTCTCCTCTTCATTTTTAAATTTAACTTTTTAATTCTAGCAGAAACACGCAAACCTCCAAGACTCTTGTGCCGTCCCGGCTCTGTCTGCTGGGAGGAGATCAGCTGTGCCTGTTCTCATGGGGTCCCCTGAGCCTCCATCTCCCGGTCCAGCTCCCCCGGGCCCCGGCGGCGGAGGGGCCCCACTAACTGTGGCACCTGAGACTCGGTTCCTGCCTCCCAGCCCCCTGCCCCCCTCAGAGTCGGGTCAGGTCTGGAATTGCACAGCAGGCCCACACTGGAGCTTGGCTACTGGAATGTGGCCTTCATCCTCCGCAGCTTGTCCTGAATCTTCCGTGAGTGCTTCTCGCTAGGGACGTGGTGCAAGTTGGCCCTGCTCTCTGCGGCCAGCGTGGAAATGTTGGCGCCGCTGAAGCGGGTGATCCTTTGCCGGAGGTGTGACTGGAGCTTGGGGTCAGGGCTGAACGTATAGGGGTTCTCCTGGAACGCGTGCACCTGGCTCACCACCTTGGCGATGTTTCTTCCGTCGGGGGAAGAAGAGACGTTAGTTTGCATGGGGCAGGGACGCGGCTTCCCCGGGCAGGGATTCCCCTTGAGTTCTCAGGAATCCTGTGCGCTAAACCTTTTCACTGCGTAAATACTGAAGGGTGGGTTTTCTGTGTTTACTGACGGGGCCAAACCTCACGCCACTGCTCAGACCTTCCCGTTTGTCTACCTGTCCATCCGTCTACCTCTCGTTCACAAACGTTATGGAAACCCCACCGGGTCAGGCTTGTCCACGCTGAGCCCCCCAAGAGCAGTAAAGGCCGGTGGGCTGCAGGGGCTGCAGCTGAGGGGACCAGGCAGGCCAGGGGCGCTGCTGCCATGTGGAGCGTCCACACCTGGGAATCGCCACGGCTGTAGCCCACGGCCCGTGTCCCAGGAGAGCTGGTTGTGCACAGTGACCAGCTGTAAGCCTCTAGGGCCATTTTCTTTCTTTGGAGACAGTCTCACTGTCGCCCAGGCTGGAGTGCAGTGGCACCGTCTCGGCTCACTGCAACGTCCGCCTTCCAGGCTCAAACGATTCCTCTGCTTCAGCCTCTTGAGTAGCTGGGATTACAGGTACCAGCTACCACGTCTGGCGAATTTTTTTGTATTTTTGGAAAAGACAGGGTTTCACCATGTTGGCCAGGCTGGTCTTGAACTCCTGGCCTCACGTGATCTACCCACCTCAGCCTCCCAAAGTGCTAGGGTTACAGGCGTGGGCCACCGCGCTCAGCCTACCTTAAGTTTTTAGTTCTCTTTTGCTGATGGGGGTTTTCTGATTTCTTACAATGAGCGTACATTTATGGCGTAAATACTGCTTTTAACTTGGTGCCTATCTAAGAAGGAGACTTTTCATGTATCAGGTTGGGGATCCGTGGACACCTGGTCCACTGGCCACTGCTCCCCAAGTGAGGCCGTCTTTCCTGGAGGAGGGTGGAGGTACCGTGGCCTGGGCAGCCTCCTGACCGTGTGTGGACAATGGAGAGACAAGAATAGACGAGAGGGTGGAGATTGTGTCTTGAGGGAGAGAGTGAGGCCGAGCCGGGACTGAGGGTGCCTGAGCCCGCTGGTCACAGGCCTGAGCCTCTGAGGAGAGGGCTGTGGCTTCCCAGGTGGAAGAGCCTGTGTGGCCAAGGGTATGTGAGCTGTGGGTCGAGATGGTAGGTTCTATAGCCAACCCGTCTGTGCCTCCCAGGCGAGGCATGCAAGGTCACCGGCCTCGGGTGCTGGGCAGGACAGTAGGACACGGGAACAGGCTGAGGACTCATCATGGGTCCCATGTGGGTGTCTGTAGGGAAAGGTCTCTGAGGGGAGCAGGGATGCGGTGGCACCCAGAGGTCAGGGCAGATTGGTGCCAGGCAGCCACAGTGCTGCAGAGACCCTCGGGTGGGGTGGAGTGTGGCTGCGTGGCAACAAGGGTCCCTAGAGACCACGGAGAGTGTGTGGGGACCATGGACACCAGGAAAGCAGGAAATGTTCTGAATTTGCAGAGCAGGCAGTGGCTGGAGGTCACCCTGGGGCGAGGGAACTCTGCAGGGACGGGAGGAGAGGTGCCACCTGAGCCTGCCCAGCCTGGGGGTGCGGCCACTTGAGCCCCTCCTCACCTGAGCTTGCTCCACCTGTGGGCCCCATTGGTCATGGTGAAGCCACCGGTCTCCAGCTGCTGGATGTGCATGGCCAGGAGGTGGGCCGAGGGCAGGGTGGGCTGTGCCCGGAAGCGCCGTCCTTCCATCAGACACAGGCTGTCGCTCTTCAGGAAGACCTGGTGGTCCGGCGAGGGCATGGGCCGGGGAGAGACAGGGCGAGGTCAGTACAGGAGCCAGCCGGGGCCGGCCTAGCCCACCCATTCCCAGTTGGTCCTGTGTTCTCACTTGCGGGGGTACCTGGCACTCTGAATTAGCTTCTAGTCACGAGGGTGACAGGTGGACTTGGCTCACACCTGCAGGCTCTTACATGAGGCCCTGACAGCCACTGGAGGCTTTGTGCCTCCCGCTACTGAAAAGGGGAGTCCCTTTCCTTGCTCTCTGCTGGACTTCAGGAAAGAGCCAGGTGACCTGACTTCCCCAAATGAGACCCAGGCTGGTTGGTCCGCGCCCGCCTCTGCGGTCCGGCAGGGACGGCAGGAGCCCTCCCGCCTCTGGAGAGCTGCAGCTGGGGCTGAGGCCGGGCTCCGACACCCAGGACCGGTGCGGGCTGCGGCTGCTCTGGGGTTCGTCTCTCTCATTTTGGGGAATGCCCAGTCATTTCCAGCAGCACTTCCTTGTTCGTTATCTCATGAGGCCATGCCTGCCATCCTGGAGGAGGGCCAGGTCGGTCAAGCTCAGGCCCCAGCCGCAGACCTCAGTGCTGTGCTCTGGGCACCTGTACTCCATGTGGGCACCTTAGACCAGCAAGGCCCGTGACCGAGCAGGCGGGACAGCTTCGCACAGGTGGCAGTGGAGTCCCCGCTGGAGGCAACTCCTGGGCCTCACAGTGAGGCCACCCTGGCTGGGACACCTGTGCACACCGCGTGGCGCCTGCATCTGCGTGAGTGCGGCAGGCGCCACTGAGTGGGTCGTTTAGGAGAGGGCCCGGCTGGACGAAGGCCACCCAGCCAAGGACGGTGCGGGTACCTCCACGGCTTTCAGCTCCTCCATGACTGCTGCGATCTTTGCAGGCAGAATTCTCCAGGCCTGAAAGGTTAGCACAGGTGAGACTCGGAGGCCGAGCCGGCGCCCACCCCCGCCTCAGGGCCCCGAGGGCACGCACAGGGGACTGCCTGACCGCCGGGTGCTCCAGCCCGCCCAGGATCTGCATGGCCGTCGCGAAGTTTCTCTGCTCGTAGCAAGATTTCGCGATCAGTAAAAACTTGGACAGCAAGTTCACCTGCAGCTGCAACGGGAGAAGGACACGTTCAGCGTCTTCTGGTTTCAGATGAACAGAGGGAGCATTTGAGAACCTGTTAAAACCGCCCAGCTTCAAAACAAGTGTGTGCCGCTCGTGTGTGGAAGGGAACCGGCCATGTGGCCGCGGCTGTGGAGGGGGCTGGGCTGGTGGGATGGGGTGGGCATTACTCCAAACAAAACAACAAAAGCAATGCCTGGTAAGTGGAAAGATTTGAAAATAAGTCCAGCCTCACTTCTCAAAAGCAAAATTGTGCCAGGACGCCCTCCCCCGGCATTGTTGGGACTGGGAAAGATGTCCCCACCCAGGGACAGGCAGTGTCACGTCCAGAGGCAGACGGGAAGCCACAGGCAGCTCCTTGCCCCCCACCGAGCCCATGGCAGGAGCGTTTGGGTGCAGCCCAGGGGTGGGCGCTGGGTGCCACCACCTCCTCCGTGGCCCTGTGGCTGGCGGTGATGGCGGTGATGACCCTGCTGGCTTTGGTGGGAACACCCCCCAGCAGGATTCTGATTCTGAGCTGTCCCGAGCGGCTGCGTCTCAGATCCAATTCCAGGGCTTCAGGAAGATTCTGGAGAACTCAGCTGACCCCTCCTGTTGGAGCACCCTGTCCCTGAGGGATCACCCGGGCCTGGGTCGTTCTTCCACAGAGACCAGGGACGCCGGCCTGGGCTCCACTCTTGTTTTTTTTTTGAGATGGAGTCTTGCCGTGTGGCCCAGGCTGGAGTACAGCCTTTTATTTGATTTGTTCAATAAAAGCTGGTGCCAACCTCCACTTCCTGGGTTCAAACAATTCTCCTGCCTCAGCCTCCCAAGTAGCTGAGACTGCAGGCGTGTGCCACCAGGCCCGGCTAATTTTCGTAGTTTTAGTTGAGACGGGGTTTCACCACGTTGGCCGAGATGGTCTCAAACTCCTGACGTCAGGCGATCCGCCCACCTTGGCCTCCCAAAGTGCTGGGGTGACAGGTGTGAGCCACCACGCCCGGCCCCCGGCGTGGCTCTTGTCTGCAGGGACCTGTGCAGCCGAAGGCCCCTGAGATGATCCCGGGCTGGCTCTGACCGCGGCCTGGGCGCCTCCTGGAGGAGCCTGAGAAGCGTTTATCGGATATACTTTGTACACACCCCGCGCTGCCATCTCAGTCTGTTTCTTCTTCGGTTTAAGGAGACGCAAAGTGCGTAACTTTCAGTTTAAACTGTTCCGTCACACTTTTTCTGTCTTAACTTTTTAATTTTTAATTGTAAAAACTACGTAATAGAGGACCCACTGTGGTAGCCTTTTCCAAGTGCGCTCCCAGCTGACGACATCCGCACCGGGCAGCAGGTCTCGGCGGCTTTCCGTCTCCCCCCTTCAGCACCGACTCCCGCCCCCGCGCTCACCCTGCCGTGTTGTCTCCCTGAGTCCAGCACCTCCAGGCACCTCAGGTCAGTGGAGCGCCCGGCGTCCGTGACCAGTCGCTCCCCTGAGCGTGATTCCCTCGAGGTTCACGAGCCGTGGCAGGCGTCAGAGTTCCCCTCCTCCTGGGGCCGAGTGATCTCTCAAGGTGCACAGAGGCCACACGATCCGTTTGCCCCTTGGTGGATGTGTCGGCGCCTCTACCTCGTGGCTGTGGTGTTCCATACTTTTATTAAACAAATCGAATGAAATCAAACCCTATTCTGCTTTCAAACTCACCATTTTATTTTATTTTTTTTTGAGATAGGGTCTCGCTCCGTCCCCTAGACTGCTGCTGGTGCCAGCTCAGCTCACTGCAGCCTCTGCCTCCTCGGCTCAAGTGATCCTCCCATCTTAGCCTCCGAAGAGCTGGGACTACAGGTGTGCGCCACCGGCCTGGATGCTGCTTTATATTTTTAGTGGAGACTGGGTTTCGTGGTGTCGTCCAGGCTGGTCTCAACTCCTGGGCTCGAGCGATCTGCCCTCCTCGGCCTCCCAAAGTGCTAGGGTCACAGGCATCGGCCCCTGAGCCCAGCCTGTGTTTTCCTGAGGTGAGAAGTTTTGCGCAGTTTCTCCTGCCTTTGGGTTCTGCCTCCTCCCTCCAGACGTCTGAACGGAACACACTGATCCCTGAGCACGTTCACTGACCACTCCTGCCCTGTGAGCTCACATTCCGTGTTTAAACAATATTCTGGGATCCTAAATTTAGAAACGTGAAGCTCAGTCTTCTGGATCACTGTGACATCACAGCCACTGACAACACGTCCGGACACGTGTGTCTAGCACTGGTTAGACGGAGGAGTGAGCCCCTCCTGTCCTGCCTGGTCGTGCGGGGCCTGTGCTTAGGGACCCGCTGCTCCCTTTCGCCAACAGTGTTGTGGCCGCAGTGCTGGGCTCTGTCATGGTGATGCCGGGCTCCGGCAGCCTGGGGTGTGAGCCTGCACGGCTCCTGCCGACCCCGCAGACCCGGACACGGGAGCATGACCCGAACGAGAGGCCGTCCTGGAGGCCCTCAGGCAGGCGGGGCGTCCCAAGCTCCAGGTGGACCTCTGTCAGGCTGGGAGGGGCCGTCCCCACCTGCTGCGGCAGCTCGGGGTGAAGGTTTGCCCGGGACGCTGCGGTTAGCCGGTGACCGCCATCTGTCCTCATTCTCGTCCTCACGAACCCATCCACAGCCCACGTGTGGAGGCTCTGATGTAGAGAAATTGCATCTCCACGTCCCTCACAAAATCGTGGGAACTGTGGATTAGAGCATACGGGGCAACCAGGCTCCCTGTTCCGTGTCCTGCGCAGGGGGCCCGTGCTGATCAAACCCCAAAGTTGGAAAATTCTCAAGGGAGGAGAGAAGGCGGCGCCTCTGCACTGGCTCACGGGCCCCAGGGTGGGCTGCGGGTGGGAGGGGCTCGCGTGAAGGAACAGCGGGAAGGGAAACGCCCTGTGGAGGCTCCTGGTGCAGGGCCCCGGCCCTGGCCCTGCCCCGGCCCCTGCCCTCGGCGCCTTCGGCCCACTCCAGGATGGGTTTGTGGCCGGGAGCCTGTTCCTTTGTTCCTGGGCCCAAGTTTGCTTTCAGGGAGCTTCGGCCTAGGAGCGGGTGGGTGTCCACCAGGGCCAAGGCTGCCACCTCCCTGCTGCGGGGGAAGGGGCCACATTGCACAGAAGGAGCCCTGCGGTCCTGAGTCTCAGGTGGAGCGGGACCTGGCCACCCCAGCCTATGAGGTGAGGCCTGGCTGAGCTCAGGTGAGATCAGAGGCCTCTGTCACATGGCATCCGTCCATCCGCTGGGCGAGGGTGCCTGCTGGAGGAAGGAGCACACCCCCGGGGCTGGGGGACTCTGGCCTCCTGAGCAGCTGTGGACCCCGAGGCCTTCTGGGCAGGGGAGCACAGTGCCTTGCCTGACAGCAGGTGGGGCGGGGTGGGGCGGGTCAGGAGCCCCCCCCGTCCAGCTCAAGGCCCGCGGGACCTGGAAGAGGCTGAGACTGGGCTCCGGTGATGGAGCTGGACCCTGACCTTGGTGGGACCACAGAGCCGCCATTCCGCAAACCGCGTGAGAAGCCACAGTGAACCTTTGGCCGGGGCAGGGGAGCCTAGGGTAGGAATGGACGTCACAAACCCCAGTCCAGGGGCCGGGCTCAGGCACAGAGGGGACGGGGCCCTGGGGTTGGGTGCTGTGGCAGAGCCCAGTGTGTGTGTGTGTGTGTGTGTGTGTGTTGTGAGCACAGGTAGGGGTGGTGGCAGTGGTGGGTGCAGCTTGTCTCCAGGCGGCCCAGAGCTGAGGAGCACCTACCACTGAGAGAAGTGGTGTCCAGCTGCAGATGTGGATGTAGCTGTGGACATGGCTGTGGATGTGGTGGTAGCTGTGGACATGGCTGCAGATATGGCTGTGGATGTGACTGGGCACGTGGAGACGTGGCTGTGGATGTGACTGGTCATGTGGAGATGTGGCTGTGGCTGTGGATGTGGCTGGGCATGTGCAGACGTGGCTGGGATGTGGCTGGGATGTGGCTGTGCACATGGCAGGCAGTGCTAGGGGAGATGCCCCTCCCCTCAAGCCTTGGGTCAGGTGTGGCTCCGAGGGACACGGAGTTGGGTTCACTGCGTTGCGGGAACATTCAGGCCACGGCTTTGCAGGAGGTGCCACCACTCTGGGGCAGGCGGCCCCCATGCCCTGTGCTGGCCTCAGAACTATGGTGTGCCCACCTTGGAGGTGTGGCTGGTCACAATCTCGGCAGCTACCCAGGTGCTGATGTCATCTGCATTTCTTAAAAGCTGTAGCAGATACTTGTCTTGAACGTAACTGGGCAGAAATAAGCTGCAGGTTTTGGCCGAAAGAGACTCAGAAGAGCTGGCTCTGGAAGAGAAACACGGCACCTGTCGCCCCAGAGCTGCTGGTGCAGAGTCGGGTGGGGTCTGGCCGTGCAGCTGCTCTGACTGGCAGACACCACTCTCTCTGGTCTCTGGAGACACAGGCATCTCCTGCTGGTCAGGAGCATCCCCAAAGGCCTCCGTCACCGCTCCCAGCTGAGGGCCTGGGACACTCACTTGGGGATGGCGGTGCTCTTGTCCATGACGCCCAGAGCCCGTGAGTTCAGGAAGTGGACCGGGTGGCACTTTTGGAACAACTCCTGCCAGGACGTGGAGAGAAGAGGTTCAGGTTACCAGCATTCAGAGTCTCGTGGCCAAGGCCGGGTCCCAGGGAGGGTGGGGGTTTTACGGGGGCCATTGCTGCAATCCTAGGTTCAATGCCCACCCAACAGTCCACAAGGTCGACCGCAGGGCTCCCGGTGTCCAGGCAGCCCCAGTGACAGCAGGTGGGATCACGAGGTTGGCATCACTGCTGTCACCTGCTGTGTGATCCAGGATGGCAGGGCCTGGGAAGGGGCTGCATGAGGGCTGGCTGTGGTGGAGGTGGAGGAAGTTGGGCAGAACCCTGGCAGCTGGGTGGGGGCACAACGAACCGGGTTGGCCCAACTCCCGCGAAGGGGCTGGGGCAGAGACTTGGCACCCCGTATGGCCCTCAGGCCATCCTCTAGTGCCTGTGAGGCCAAAGTGCTGCTGGGCAGAGGCAGGCCCAGACCCTGCAGGCAGCGCTGTCTGGAGAGGAGGACCCGGCTTTGCTGGGACCAAGCCCCTGCTGGGGCCTCCCATTGAGGCAGCAGCCGCCTGGACCTGTGCACCTGGCAGCTGGCCCCTCCCTGCCTGTCTGTTCCTCCGGGAAGCGGCCGCTAAGGGCCCTGTGGGCGCCGAGTGTCCATGGGGTGGGTAACCCGGTGTGGATTCCCACCCTCCTCACCTGCTGCAACAGCGTGAGCTGGCTGAAGAGCTGGTGGGTGCTGTACTCGGTCAGGAAGTAGGGCCCCTTCTCACTGGTCTTGGCGCAGGGGCTGTAGAAGTCCTCAAGGAAGCAGGGCTTGGGCAGTGCCGCGGCGATGGTGTAGGGATGCTCCTTGTGCGGTGGCAGTACCAGCCCATTGCCCCGTGGCAGCCTCCAGGGGAAGCTCTGCAGGGCAGGCCGGGCACTGAGGGGTCCCTCGGGGTCAGGGGTCCAGGGAGGCTGGGCGGGGTGAGGATCAGGCCGGGCCCAAGCCCAGCACTCCTCAGACTGGCCCAGCCAGAGCCAGAGAGCGGCCTGCCCACCCACTGCCACGTTGGCACAAGGATGCCCATCCTGGTCATTTCAGCAGGTCCCCCATGGCAGGGCCACTGAGGCTTAATGGAAAGGCCGTTCATCTCCTCACACTGGTTTCTTCCACCCAGTCTCTGGCCAAGGGTCAGGAAGTTGGGGTCAGTGAGTCATAGCAGGACCCTCCTCACCTGAGAGCCTGGGCACAGGAGGTGCCAGCCCAGCAGGGCTGCCTGGGACTGGGAACATGGAGGGTGTGCACATGGGTGTGTCTGGGTGCACGTGTGTGCAAACACATGCATGTGTGAGGGTGCACATGTGTATGTGAGGTGCACACGTGTGTGAGGCTGCACATGTGTGAACACATGCATGTGTGATGCACGTGTGTGTGGGTGCACGTGTGAACACAGGCATGTGAGGGTGCACGTGTATGTGAGGGTGCACACACGTGTGAGGGTGCACGTGTATGAGGGTGCACGTGAGGGTGCACATGTGTATGCGTGAGGGTGCACGTGTATGTGTGTATGTGAGGTGCACACGTGAGGGTGCACATGTATGAAGGTGCACATGTACGTGTGTGAGGGCACACGTGTGCAAGGGTGCACATGTGTGTGTGAGGGTGCACGTGTGTATGTGAGGTGCACACGTGTGTGAGGGTGCACACATGTGTATGTGAGGGTGCACATATGTGAGGGTGCACACGTGTGTGAGGGTGCACGTGTCTATGAGAGGGTGCACACGTGTGTGCATGTGAGGGTGCATATGTGTGTATGTGATGGTGCATGTGTGTGAGGGTGCACATGTGTGTATGTGAGGGTGCACGTGTGTGTATGAGGGTGCACATGTGTGTATGAGGGTGCACACGTGTGTGTATGTGAGGGTGCACATGTGTATGTGAAGGTGCACACGTGTATGTGTGAGGGTGCACATGTGTGTAAGGGCACACACGTGTGTATGTGTGAGGGTGCACTGTGTGATGTGGGGGGGTGTGCAGCTGTGCACACAGGTGCACTGTGTGATGTGGGGGGGTGTGCAGCTGTGCACACAGGTGCATGTACCTGTGTGTGTGCATGTATATGGATGTGCACCTGTGCACGTCTGTGTGTACATGTGTTCTTGAGGCTGGGCTCAGGGGGCCACATCTGCCTGTCCAGGGAGGCCCTCCCCTGGGAAAGAACCCCACCTTCCGGGAGAGGCCGTCCTCCGAGAGCCTCTTATAGAGGGCGTTGAAGGGCCTGGTGTCTTCCTCCGCCTCCTTGGGGTTCTCCAGGTCTGTGCCCCGAGGGCTGCCCTCGGCCCGCCTGTCTTTGCCCACGTCCAGGAGGCCCAGCAGGTGCTCTGCAGAGCCGTCCAGGGGTAGAATCTAGGCAGAAGTAGGGTGCAAGGCGGTCAGTGCCACCTTCTGGAGGAGGGCAGCCCCTCCCGCCGTGGGGGTCCGGTGCGCAGTCACCTTGGAGGAGATGAAGCCCTCCAGCTGCCCCAGCAGCTCACTGTTCCGGGTGAAGTCCACGGTGTAACAGTCCTCCACCCAGGCCTGCAGCACGCACAGGCTCCGCCTGTAGATCTTGGTGAAGGTCGAGGTGGGGTCCTGGTGGGCCCTGGAGGCATGGGGGAGCTGCCTGAGCTGCCAGGAGTGTGAGTCGGGGACAGAGGCCCAGGGGCTGCGCGCAGCTCTCCCGAAGGGGCAGGACAGGACCAGGCTCCACATGTGCAGGGGGCTTAGGGGGCTGGGGGTCTTCTGTGGGTCCCTCCCCCAAGGCAGGAGCTGACTGGCTGATGGCCTGAGGGCCATGGGGGTGCCCTGCCTGGGCGTGTGTGGGCCTGGACAAGGGGGTGCATGGGGTGTCCTAGGGGTCAGCAGGTCAACCTGGAGAGGCAGAGCACCTCTCCCTCTCTTGGCCCCAGCTGCTGGCCATGGGAGCAGAGGGAGGCTGGGGGCCGGCAGCGCCCTCCGCTTGGTGTTCCCGAGCTGACCTGCTGACTCTCCTGGCTCCCCACTTTCCTCCTAGTCAGCAGGAAGAGACTCCACTCCCCAGGTCACCTCCCAGTGCTCCCAGGCTCCCAGGCCGCTGCCCTCCTGCCCCGGTCGCTTTCTCTGCGCCCATGTGTGTCCCCAACCTCTGGCCAGGCTTCCCTGGCCCCTCACCCCCCAGGGACTGCCTTGGCCTTCATAGCGGAGCCCGGCCTGCCCCGGTGAGGCTCTGGCGGGCATGGAGCTGTGGGCGCGGTACCTGGACAGCGTGCTGTTGATGCGGTCAAGGAGGAAGTGCAGGAAGTCGTGGGGCGTGCAGAAGTAGCGGAAGGTGTACAGGAACTGCTGCACGTAGCCCTCCAGGAAGGCGTCGCTGTGGGGTGGGGCGGGCAGGGCGGCAGTGAGGGGGTGCCGCGGCCCCACCAGGCTCCGCTGGTGTTCTGGGGTGTGAGTGTGAGTGAGTGTGAGTGCGTCTTCTCTGTGCATGTCACTGTCAGGAGAATCCCCAGAGAAATTAAAGGGGGGACAAGGATAACGTCTGAATTCCCAACCGTTCCCAGCACCAGGCCTTCCTGAACGTGGCCTGTGCGGGGCCTCGTGGCTTCACTCGCCGGCCGTCAGCCTGGGAAGCCGAGGGAGCCGGTGCCTCGGGCCGGGGGCCACGCTGCACACTCAAAGCTCCTGCCTTCACCGGGCGAACCGGCCACCCTCGGGAGACACTGACCGGGGGTCTGCACATGGGTCAGGGACCGTCCCGGTGTCCTGGGAGCCCGACCACCGTGGTCAGGGAGGCGAGGCGTCCTCCCATGCTGGAGGAAACTCGGGCAGGAGACGGGGTGGCTCTGGAACCGGGGGCCTGGTCACCTGCTCACGTGGGGCCGAGGACACAGGTGGCCACAGCTCAGGCCAAGCACTACACAGGCCCACACACTACACGACATCCCACGACCACACACCACACAGGTGCTCACATGCCAGGTAATACCCCATCACCACCAGCTCTACAAAGCGAGGAAGCCCCTTGTGACCACATGCACAGCCAGGAGACCCCACGCTACACACTACACACATGCCACACACACCACATACCACACGTGTACACACACACATCACACTGTACCCCACAGCACACAACACACATGTACCACACTGTACCCCACAGCACACAACACACACGTGCCACATACCATACCCCACATCACACACTACACACATAGACACAGCACACTATACCCCACGCACACACCACACACGTCACACACCACACATCACACGTGTACGCACACACCACACTGTACCCCACACCACACAACACACACATGCCACACATAACACACACCACACATGTATGCACGCAGCACACTATACCCCATGGCACACACCACACACGTTACACACACCACACATGTACGCACACACCACACTGTACCCCACACCACACAACACACACGTGCCACACACCATACATCACATCACACACTACACATGTACACACACCCCACAATATACCCCACACCACACATGTACACACACACACACCACACTGCCCCACACCACACATGTACACACACATAACATACACACCACACTGTACCCCACAGCACACAACACACATGTGCCATACACCACACACTACACATGTACACACACCCCACACTATACCCCACAGCACATAACACACACAGCACACTATACCCCACGCCATACACCACACACGCCACACACACCACACGTGTACACACCACACTATACCCCACACCACACAACACGTGTGACACACCATACCCCACATCACACACTACACACATAACACACACACCACACTATACCCCACAGCACACAGCACACACCACACTATACCCCATGCCACACACCACATGCACGGCCAGGAGATGCTCCTTCTGTGGAAGCACAGAGCTCACACTCACGCCTGCAAGCCACACAGAATGTCACAACCACAGACATGCACACACACCTGCACACACACCTGCACACACACACTACACACTACACATGTACCACACTATACCCCACACCACACATGCACACATGCCATGCGATACCCCACAACCATACACCACACACACTACTCCACATCACGCACTGTACATGGGCACACAAGCCACACACACTGCCCCACACATGCACACCACACATGTGCCTACCACACCGCACATCCCACAACCACACACACACCACACACTCCATACAAGACTAAATACATATCATATTTCTATACTGCACATGCACAATATAGCACATCACCCAATACCCCGACACACCACACATGTACACCAAGAACATGCCACGCTGCACACGTGCACAGCCACGCACACAGGTGTCTCCCACAACAGCACAGAGACCTTATGGTGGGTGTGGCCGTGCCTGTCTTGCAGATGAGGAGGCTGAGACTTGGGTCTGAGGGTCGGCCTGGAGCCCTGGCTAGCAGGAGGCCCCATGAGACCAGGGCCAGCTCACCTTAGGGCAGGCGTCCCCAGACTTTTTACACAGGGGGCCAGTTCACTGTCCCTCAGACCGTTGGAGGGCCGCCACATACTGTGCTCCTCTCACTGACCACCAATGAAAGAGGTGCCCCTTCCTGAAGTGCGGCGGGGGGCCGGATAAATGGCCTCGGGGGCCACATGCGGCCTGCGGGCTGTAGTTTGGGGACGCCTGCCTTAGGGTAACAGGGCCGGGGCGGGGAGGAGGCTGCTGCCCCTCTCTAGAGGGTACTTGGCGTAATGGGGCTGGGGGAAGACAGCACCGTCCCTCTGTAGGGCCTCCCTGTCCTTACCGCCTGCTGGCCTCCTTGGTGTCCTTTGCTGGGCCCCAAGGGACAAGTGCTCCCTGCTCAGAGAGGACCCCTGGGGCTCCAGAGTGGTGTCATGAGGGTCCCATAGCCAAGATGGGGGTGGGCCAGTCACTGTCCGGGAGGGGGGCCTCTCTGAGTGGGTCAGACCATTGGGTGCAGAGCTCCCGGTGCCTAAGAACAGGGTTCAGCCAAGGCCCCTGCAGGGCAGAGCGCGTGAAGGGCGAGGAGGTGGGTGGGGCGGCCGGGGGTCTGGCCCTGTGGCCTCGGCAGAGGTGAGGGACCTGCTGGGTCCTCGCTGCTGTGGGTGCACGCACACCAGTGTTTACGGATCGGGGTCTCGGGAGCCAGTGCACACACCGAGCGAGCGATGGCGGAGACCCCCAGCCCGACCGTGTCCCTGGGCCACGAGGCTCCTTGCGGGCTGTTCTGACGCGGTGAGCTGGGCGGAGTCCAGGCTACATCGCCGAGCTGCTGTGCGTGTGGATTTTTGGAAGCCGTTTCCACAAGTTAATTATGTAGAGTGGGTTCCCCCGCACCTCCAGGGACTGCCGGGCACACGCCGAGACCCGGTGTCCAGGCCTGCAGGCAGTGGCGGCCACCCTGGCTGGGTCTCTGCAGGGCTGCGGCGGCCCCCGGTGCACGGTGGCCCCCAGCAGACCCCAGCACGTGGTGGCCCCGAGTAAACATCTTTCCCAGCTAGAAAGTGCACGCCTAGCCCGGCGGAGGGGCCAGGGCGGCGTCCCCCTCTCCCAGTGAGCTCTCCTCTAACGCACCTGGAGTAGAGGTAGGCCATGAGCCCCAGCGGCGTGCCGGCCTGCAGGATGCGGGCTTTCTGCCGGCCGCCCGGGTGCTTGTTGACGTTGTAGAAGATGAGTGAGGAGGACTCGTCCAGGGGGCTGAAATCCAGCGTGTCGCAGGGTGCGGCCGCGATGTTCACGATGACTGGCAGGGCGCAGGGCTCCAGGCCCCAGCGCTCCGCGTACAGGACCTGCCGGTGGGACGTGGCGCTGGCTCACCCCGCCCCTCCCCCCAGGCCTCCTCAAATCAGGGCCCCTCTGGTGACTCCGCACCGACAGACCGACAGCGTCCCGCGGTGGGAGGCCGTCCGAGGCGCCGAGAACTTGCCTGCAGGTACTTCTTGACCAGGCCGAGGAACTGCACCCTGGATTTCATTTCTTCCAGCTGCCCTTTCAGTTTGGACAGCATGGTCTTGACGTCGGAGCCTGTGGGCAGGGCAGAGTGGGCCGGGGCCGGGCTCCTGTGGCCGGGGTGTCCGACCTGCGCCCCCAAGGCCTCACCTTTGCTCCTCTTTTCCTTCTGCAAGAGCTTCTGGTAGAACTTCAGGGTCTTGCGATAGTTTCTTTTCTCGATCATGAGCTGCTGCTCCAGCTCCTGGTGACGAAACACAGAGCCTAAGCCCCAGGCAGCCCCACACGTCGGCCACATCCAGGGCCAGGCCCCACCCCGCTGGGGCCTCCCAGGCCTTGGAGATCAGCTGCAGGGCAGCGTCCCATGGAGACCGGCCCACACAGCCAGCGAGGCAGGCCCCGGCCTGGGTAGTGTGGTGTGGGGGCCTCTGCTGTCCCCCGGCTCACAGGGCAGTGCCCACCACCCCTCACTGCTCAGGCCCTGTGGGGTGTGCTCAGGGGACAGTGGGCACTGCCATGTGGCCACCACCTGGGACCTCAGTAGAACCAGACGCCACCCAAGTCAGCCCCAGGCTCTCCTGCCCAAGCAGGTGGGGCTGTGTCACCTCTGGGACCCCCGGCACAGGTTGTGGGGGGGCAGGGGTGCGGGAAGAGAGTGTGGGGAGAGGGGGAGGGGAGGACAGGGCATGGCCTCCAAAGGCTTATCCCGCGTTTTCAGGCGTCTGCCTGCCTTTTCCTTTTCTATTTTTGTTGACTTTTTTTTTTTTTTTTCTTTTTGGAGCTGACATCTCGCCCTGTCACGCAGGCTGGAATGCAGAGGTGCAATCACAACTCACTGCAGCCTTCACCTCCCTTTGCTCAAGAAATTCTCCCATCTTAGCCTCCCAAAGAGCTGGGATTGCAGGTGTGAGCCACTGCACCGGGCCTTGCCTTTCCTTTAAACTTAGGCTTGAAGAAGCGCAACCATATGGAGTCCAACCGTCCTGCGCAGACAAGACCCCTGGAAACCATCCTCCTGGGAAGCTGCCAGCTGGACCATCGTGGTTTGCTGGGTGGCGGCCACAGGGTTTGCCCCAGCCCTTGGCTGCCCCGTGGAGTGTGAGTGCATGCCCGGGTGTGCCGTCCTGATCCTGCCCAGGGTCTGAGTTCCTGCCTGGAAGACGGAGCCGGGGACCTCATCCCTAAGGCTGTCTCTGTGAGGGAAGGGACTGAGGCCAGACTGGCAGGTCCTGACTGCAGGAGCCGGGAGGGAGGGCCGCTGGGCTCTGCTTCATGCACAGATACCGGCTGGGACTGAGCATGTCCCGGGATGGGACTGTATTCAGGGAGAAGAGGCTCCATTGTCCCAGGATGCCTCCCACACCTGGCCGGGCAGCCGGTCATCCGGGACCCCCTCTGTCCTGTGGGACGGGCACCTGTTGTGGAGGCTGGAGCGGGGGTGCCCTGAGGATGAGCCTGCCAGGGCAGTAACCCCAGAGACGGCCTTTCCCTCCAGGGGCACAGGGGCAGATACAGCCTCCTCCTGCACCTGTGAGGCTTGGCCCAGCACCGAGGAGGGGAGTGATTCGGGGTGGGGGGGTTGCTGGGGAGACTTGGGGGTCCATGGGAGCTGGGCTGGGGCAGCAGGTCTTCAGCGGGGACCGTGAGGTGCCACAAGGCGGGGCACCTGGTGGAGGGCAGAGGTGAGAGGCATGGCGGCTCTGGCCCAGGCGTCCTGGGAGGGGTTCATGTGCCCACGGCCAGCAGCGACCACCCCGAGGGGTCATCCACGAGGGAGCCCGTCCAGCAGGCTTCCTTCTGTGAGGCGCCGTTGGCTCAGGTCCACCAGCCACCCCGCCACGCCAGCCCGCCGGGGACTCTGCTCTGTTGATAGTGCTTATTTTTGAATTCTGTTTTGCAAAGTAAAAAATGCAGGTGATATTTCTGTGTAATGATTTGAATCCACTCTATCTGGTGGCTCCATGGAGGCGGGGGACCCCTGCTGTCTCCTCCCATGCACAGGTTCAGGGATGGCAGTGGCGGCCCCACGGAGGGCCAGGCTCCCGGCGAGGGCAGCGTGGGCAGCGGTCCCGGCTGGCTGTGTGAAGACCGGCCCCTCTACAGAAGCTTGGTGGCTGAGCCAGATTACCCCAGTGCTCGGGTCCTGCTCCCGCTCAGCCAGGTAGAACCTGCCTCCCACACCGAGCCGCCGGAGGCTGCCTAATGTGCAGTGAAATTAAAATGTCAGGTCCTCCTCAGTCATGTGGGCCATGTTTCCAGAACTCAGCAGCCACACGTGGCTGCTGGCTGCCCTGTGGGCAGCGTGGATCTCGAATATTCCATCATCAAGGAAGGACCGACTGGGCTAGGCAGGTCAAGTTCGGCCAACGCGGGTGCCCCCAAGGAGCTGTGTTCTGCTTCTGAGGATGGTGGTGACCACATCCCCTGTGGCTGCACCACAGGGCCCTTGTCCGGACCCAGAGGTCACCTGTGCTGGCTCCGGCCCCCTCACCCCTCCACTTGTCGAGAGACCGACGTCGGCAAGATCTCCTGGGAAAGGTCTCTGTGTTACACGGCATCAGGAAACCGGGAGAGGGCGTCCTCAGCCTGATGCCCGCCTGGCTGGAGCGTGGCTCGGGCAGACTCCTCTCAGCCGGCACCTCCACAGCCTCCTTTCACAGCTGGACTCCACGTCCATGTCAGCGGCGCTGACTCACTGGGAACCACAGGCAGATTCCTTGAGAATCCACCTACGGGGTGGTGGGGAAGAAAACACGAGCTGCGCTTCACTGCTGCAGACGGTCGGGGGACGAACCACGCCAGCCACGCCAGCCACGCCAGCCACGCCATCGCCTGCACCTGACTCTGGGAGCCATGCTTGCTTTTCTTTCTTTCTTTCATTCGTTCTTGGAGCCATGCTTTCTCTCTTGCTTTTTCTTTCTCTCTCTCTCTCATTTCTTTCTTTCTTTCCTTCTTTTTTTCTTTTTCTTTTTTTCTCTCTCTCTCTTTCTTTCTCTCCTCCCTTCCTCCCTTCCCTTTTTTTTTCCCATGCTGGTTTTAATAGCAGGAGATGCAGACGCCGCCTCCAAAGCCCCAGGGAGCCGGCAGTGCTGAGCCCTGCACACGAGGCCGGCTGCAGCGGCCACCGCAGGTGGGGGCCACCGCTGAACGGAGAAACGCCCACCCACTGGTGGCTCCGGCTGCCCCGGAGAAGGGCCCTGGCCCACCTGCACTGTGTGCTCGTTGGGCTGCAGATGTGAAAATCTGTCTGCAGGTGTTTCTTTGCCCTTCGTGTGTTTCTGAGCCTCCTGTTTTGAAACAGACATAGCAGTTCCTCCAAGAGAAACGTGAGGCTGTGGCCACAGGCTGGACTCTGCACTGGGGAGGCCCAGTGCTCCTCAGACCCGTGCGTTTGGGGGCCAAGTCCTCTCTGCTGGACGCTGGGCGTTTGGGGCTGAGTGCGCCTCAGGACACCCTGGATTTGGGGGCCGAGTCCTCCCTCAGGACGCTGCATGTTTGGGGGCTGGGTCTTCCCTCAGGAAGCTGTGTGTTTGGGGCCGGGTCGTCTGGTGTCTGCTGTGCAGGCCGCCCTGTCCCTCCGCAGCCCCACGGGAGGCCTGTGTGAGCTGCTCCAGATGCAGAGGCTGCAGCACCATGCAGGCCCTTCACGTGGCCCGGAAGTGGAAATGACGTGAACGCTTCGCAGAGCTCAACCTCAGTCCCCTCCCCTACCCCGGGGAGATGCCGGGTCACCTTCTGGACTGAGTTATAGCTGGGGGCCAGGCGGAGAGCAAGGAGGAGCCCCAGGATGGTTTCGAAGCCCAGAAGCTGGGGAGGCTTCCCACTGCGGCTGGGGCTCGAGGCAGGAGGTGGTGGGAGAGTTCCGGAACTGGGCCCCTCCTGTCATCGGCCCTGGGCGCTCGGGCCTCGTGTGACTGCGGGCCTGTTCGGGGCTGTGGGTCACTGGCCCCCCTTGCATCCAGAGCTCTGCGGGCCTCTCCTGCACCCCGGGATGTGTGTTCTAAGACCTCCTCTCCCTGCTGACCAGGGAGGAGTTGCAGCTGCTCCTGACCCAGGACGGCACCACTGGCCACAAAGGGCAGGCCAGGCTGCAGCGACCAGGCCCAGCATGGGCTTTCGGGGCAGGCGTTACCGCAGAGCGAGGCTGTGCAAGGCCCAGGGGGCTGCGCCTGCCCCACGGGAGATGTGGCCGGACGCAGCCTGATCACGAGCACCGAGGGGCCTCCTGGGAACCCACCGCCCTGGTAACCACCAGAGAAAAGCCGTTCCCTATCCCCAAACGTGGGGTACCAGTGCAGACAGCTCAACCCGGAGGGGCCCCAACGGTCTCCACAGCCACGGGGTGGGGGCACCAGACAGGCATCACCCTGCTGGGGCTCTGAGCACACGGTGCCACCTGTCACCGCTGTGGCCGGGAGCTCTGCTGGAAGGAAGCCCCGCCCTGCCCATCCTGCAGGGCTGAGGCTTGGGACTCACCGGGCTGTGGGCGTCGGGCAGGGCCCCGTCCGCGTGCTGCCGACCCAGGCCCTCCACGTAGCTGTGGACGTCGGCCCCGAAGCAGTCGGCCTCATAGAAGGCGCTGCACCAGCCCGGGCTGCAGCTCTGGAGTCCAGCGGGGCCGGGGGACATGGCCGGGCTGCCCACCTTGGATCTAGCCGGAGCCGCGGCCTCCCCGTCTGGGGCTCCGCCCGCTGGCTGCCTGTCCTTGTCCGCCTCAGGCTGCTGCACTCTCTCGGCTTTTATGGACCTCTGAGGCCGAAATCCCACTTCAAAGTTTCCCCGTGAGAGTTTGTCTGAGTCCACGCCAGACACCGAGGTGGGTGAGCAGGGGGCCCAGCTGGCCCTGGCCACGGCCGGCTTCTCTTTTCCTTGAAAGAGAGAGAAGTAGGTTCCGTGGATGGTGGCTCGTGTGCGCGGAGCACACGCTGGCTGATCACGGGTCGGGGCGGTGCCTGGACGCGGACGCCCTTCACCCCCGACACCCCGTGCATGGCTGCCCCTCCTGGCGCAGGGGAGACGCGGGACCCTGAACTGCTACACGGGGCGGGGTAGGCCTCTCCGCAGGTGGAGTCCCTCTCTGAGCCCTTCCAGACTTGTGGGTCCCAGAGGGGCCCCAACAGTCTCTACCCCCGGGGTGGGGCCGCTCCCTGTTCCTGCTGTTCCCGCCTTCGAGACTGTGTCCTCTGCACCAACCCTCTCCTCTTTGCTTCTGGAAGTTAAAATGTGGCCCCAGCTCTGTTCCTGCTGGAAGCTTCTCCTGTGCAGGGCTTCCCCGCCATCCAGGACTGCATGGGCCTCACACCGTGGCCTGGGCACCTGGTCTCTGACTCGTTGGAATGGAAACTGGGCCACCACCAAGCTTGGCCACGACCACGGACAGCCTGAGGGTGACCACGACCACCAGCTTGTCCCTAACCCCCCAGCCTGCTGGCCGTACACTGGAGCTTCCCCAGCCTGGAATTCATGTGCCCCGGAAGCCTAGGGCTAACAAGCCAGGCGCCCAGCCCTGGGTCCTTTCGTCAGCAAGCCCACTTCTGCCTTGTTATCAAAGCCTGGGGCTCCCAGCTCCGCCTCTGCCTGGAGATGGGGTCACCCCCAGCTCCCAGCATTCCCTATCCCAATGGCTGGTGACAGAGGACCCCCCCGCCAAGGCCCTGGGCTCCTGCCCGTCCCCAGGAGAGGACCACCATTGGCTGGGGTGCCCGAGGGCAAAGACAGAGCCCTCCAAGGCTGCCGGGACCCTGGGGCACCCCATGACTTGTGGAGAGGATGGAGGAGCCGCCCTGCTGTGGGTCGGCCAGCACTTACCCAGGCGGTGCAGGGAGGGCCTCTTGCTGGACGGGGAGCAGGGCCTGGGGCTGCTGTCCGGCTGTGACCCAGCCTCCTTGGCCGCACTGACAACAAGAATGCAGGTCAGGCACCGTCCCTGCCCCCGCCCACCGGGAGGAGGCCTCAGTCTCCAGGGGGCCAGCCCTCCTGGCCCACATGGCCATACAGAGCCCTCGCCAGAGGCATCAGGAGCTGGTCCCTCCTGGGTCACTGAGGGGCATAGCAGCCAGCGGGATCCCGGGGTCATTAGCTGCTTGGGGTCCCCCTGCGGGGCTCTGGAGCAGCCTCTCCATGCTGCGGGGTGGGGAGCCGGGGCTGAGGTGGGCACACCTGTGCATAGCTGCTCCTTTACTCCACACACAGGTGCAGGAGCTGCCCGGGCCACTGGCCCCATGTCAAACCATGAGCAAGGCAACATGGGGCCCCCATCATGGCTCGGGGCTGGGCTCTGTGGGGTCTTGGGCCACCTGTTTGGGGTCTCCTCTCCTCCTTCGGGACCTCACTCTGATCCCTCTGAGCAGGACACCTGGTGGCCACCATGGCCCAGGCCCCCACAGCCTCCCAGAGAGCTCCTGCCCTCTGCTCCCCACGAGCCTTTTCTTCCTCTGGAGGGAACTCAGGCCCGACAGAAAGCTGTGGTCGGCGTCAGGACCACGGAGAGCGGCTGCCGGGACGCCCACCCATCTACCCCGGGGCTGGCCTCTCTGAGGCAGTGGCAGGACGGACACTGAGGGTTGGGAGGGGAAAGCTGGGCCCTCGTCAGGGCGGGAGAGCTGGAGCACGGTGGGTGTCAGGGAAGGGGAGGGAGGCAGGGCTGCCCTGGGCACCCACCTCGCGGAGGGTGACGCCGGCCCGTTCACCACCCGGAAGAGGCTCTGCAGCAGCTTCTCATCCCAGTACAGGTCACAGAACTTCTCGGAAATGGCGCCACAGAAAGTGGCGAAGGTGAGGTCTTTCAAGGCGAAGATGTACTCCCCTGGTTTTCAAAAACGATGGAGGCCAGTGAGACGGAGGCAAGGCCACTTTTCTGGCTCCCTTGTGGCTGACGAAACGGACAAGGCTGGTCTGGGCTCGAGGGGCTGTGGGTCGCGGGGCTCTCCCCAGCCCGGGCCTCCTCTGGGGAGTCTGCGGCCCCCACGTACCCATGATCAGTGCCTCCAGCCCGTTGTTCAGGTAGCCATCGAAGGCAAACTCCTCCTGGATGAGGCGTGTGGCCTCCTGCAGCGACGGGCAGCCCGTCCTCCCTGGCAGTGGCGAGGTGTCCACACAGGGCAGACAGGGCCTCCGGTCCGCGGGCCGTGGCCTCTCTGGGACACTGTCCGGGCTCTGGTTGTCATGCTCCCCGGCAGGGGTGGCCCTGGGGCCCTCTGGCTTCTGGTCCTGGCGCTCGGTGGCCTTGCTTCGGGGAGGCTTGGGTGGGTGTCGAGGGCCGTGCTGGGCCGTGGTGGGCCCTAGGGCACTGGACCTGAGGCCCCCGGAAGTGACTCCAGGAAGGACCTGCCCAGCCGGCCCTCGCTCTTCAGGCAGCGCGGATGCCTTTGTGGGCAGGGCAGGGACTGGAGGGCTTGGAACCTCGGCTGAGGCCCCGTCTGGCTGGTTTGCTGGGGCCTGGGGTGGAGGGCAGGGGCAGCCCTGGGCTGAGCCACGCTGCACTGACTCCCCAGGAGGCTCTGGGGCTGCTCCCTGTGGCCAGTCAGGTGCCTTCCGACTGGGTGACCCGGTGTGGATCTCCGGGCAGAGCTTCCCTTCACCTTCCCTCTCCCTCTGGCCGTTCCTCTCCTGGGATTCCTCCTGGGCCAAGACAGGCTGGTCCCTACGGGAGGAGCCGAGCTCAGCACGGGCTGCCTGCGCCAGGGCCCCAGCAGCTCCGGGGCGTGGGGACGGAGGCTCACCTGGCCACACTGGGGTCCTGCGTGAGGATAATGGGCTTGAAGTGCGTGGCCTCGGAGGTGAATGCCTCGGGCAGCTGGGCGGCTTCTTCACAGCAGGGATGTTGGCCGGGCACGGGCCCTGGCACAGCCACAAGCCTGGTGTTGCTGTTCACCGGCAGGAAGCCTGGGGACCCAGGGGGCTGAGCGTGCAGGTGGGGCCTGGCCGGCCGGGTGCTGAGGAGTGGCCCCAGCATGTGCTGCATCCCCAGGGCTGTCCCCTCCCGCACCTCCCTGGGGGCTTCCTCTGTGCTGGGGCTGGACCCCAGCGGGAAGGTGGGTGTGACCAGTGCTTAGGGAAGGGCCAGCACGTGGGGACAGGCCAGAAAGACGGGATCCACCAGGAGGCTCGGAGGGGCTTGCTGGGGAGGGTGAAGCCCCTGGGTGGGCTGTGTGTGGACTCTGGGGGGTCTCCAGATATGGGCTTGGGAGGGCCAGCTGCTGGAGACGCCGGTGAGAACCTGGGCCTGAGGAACCGGGAGTTTTGGGAGAGATGAGGGCTGGCAGGGGCAGGCAGGCTGGGCTGCACTGGCCGCGCCCTGGACTTGCTGCCCGGAGTTCCGGGAAGCGCCCGGCTGTGTCTGTCCAGGCAAAGGCAGGGGCAGCTGTGGGGTGGGGTGCAGGGGCTGGTGGGGGCCCCACCTGGGCCGGGCTCTGAGGCTGGTGCTGCGCTGGGCCTCCGTTCAACCCCTGAGAAGGCGTTCTGGAGGCTGATGGTCTCTTCCTCCTGGGACACCTGGGAGCAGGCGATAGCTCTGGGCCAGGTGACCACGGCGCTCCACCAGTGCTGGCCACACCCATGGGGTCTTCCCCCCCACTCCACCGCCGGTGCCCGGGGAGCTTCCTGCTTCGGGGAGCCCATGTGGCAGCCACGTGGCCTGAGGTCCACAGCGGTTCTGCCTGTAGAGGAAGCCTTTGGGCCTCCTTTGCATCCCAATCCAAACAGGTTTCCGTGGGTTTTGTGAGTGGTCGGTGCTGGCACCACCTAAAACTCAGAGCCTACTGCTCTCTGCACCAGGGGTGGGTGCCGGCTGCCATCCTGGGGACCCTGCCCCAAGGATCCTGAGCTGGTTCCTGGGGCCACTGGGGGGCCCTTGGGAGATGGGACCTGAGTGTCCCCTGCACCCCGAGACACACCCACCCATAGCTTGGTGGTCAACAGAGACCCACGTGTGGGACTTCGGGCAGCGGCAAGGCGAGGGCGAGCGTGTCTGGGTGGGAGGAGGCGCCGCCCACCTGGCAGGTGGAAGCTCTGAGGTGGGCGAGGATGCTCCGGCTGTCCATGCCTCGCTGCAGGAGGTAGCTGCTGCACACCTGGAGGGGGAGACGGTCCAGGCGTCCTGACGGGCCTCAGCTGTGGCGGCACCTGCCCCACGACACTGGGTCCAGGTCTGAAAAAGCTCAGGCCTGCCATGAGGGTTTCCTGTTTGCTCTCACTGACACCTGATACAGGCCTCGGACAAGCCTGTCTGAGCACTTCCTGAAAAGGGTCAGTCGGCCACTGTCCCCCAGGCTCCCTGGGAGGGAAGAGTCCCACACCCAGCGTTGGCCACAGACCTGGTGGCCTTGCTGCCAGGACATCCCCAGCCCTGGGTCATGTTCACCTGAGCCCATGCTCCAGCCCCTCCCATCCTTCCTTTATGAGCCCAAGTCCTGTGCACGTGGGACGGAGCTCAGCTTCTTCGACTCTCAGCAGTTACTGAGTAAAATCCACTTTCACAGACGTTCAGCTGTGTCTAGAGCTCATCCTCCCATGGCGGAGGGGGCCTGAGAGCCCCAGAGGGTCTGAGCAACCGGCCCAAGGTCACCGAACAGTCAAGGCAGTGACAGGTGGGCCCAGGTCCGGCACCCACAGCCGCAGACACGGCTCCTCCCCAGGAGGTCCTCCTGATCACACACAGGGCTCCTCCCCAGGGGGTCCTCCTGATCACACACAGGGCTCCTCCCCAGGGGGTCCTCCTGATCACACACAGGGATCCTCCCCAGGGGGTCCTCCTGATCACACACAGGGCTCCTCCCCAGGAGGTCCTCCTGATCACACACAGGGCTCCTCCTCAGGGGGTCCTCCTGAGCACTGACACACAGGGCTCCTCCCCAGGGGGTCCTCCTGATCACACACAGGGCTCCTCCCCAGGGGGTCCTCCTGATCACACACAGGGATCCTCCCCAGGGGGTCCTCCTGATCACACACAGGGCTCCTCCCCAGGAGGTCCTCCTGATCACACACAGGGCTCCTCCCCAGGGGGTCCTCCTGATCACACACAGGGATCCTCCCCAGGGGGTCCTCCTGATCACACACAGGGCTCCTCCCCAGGAGGTCCTCCTGATCACACACAGGGCTCCTCCTCAGGGGGTCCTCCTGAGCACTGACACACAGGGCTCCTCCCCAGGGGGTCCTCCTGATCACACACAGGGCTCCTCCCCAGGGGGTCCTCCTGATCACACACAGGGCTCCTCCCCAGGGGGTCCTCCTGATCACACACAGGGCTCCTCCCCAGGAGGTCCTCCTGATCACACACAGGGCTCCTCCCCAGGGGGTCCTCCTGATCACACACAGGGCTCCTCCCCAGGAGGTCCTCCTGATCACACACAGGGCTCCTCCCCAGGGGGTCCTCCTGATCACACACAGGGCTCCTCCCCAGGGGGTCCTCCTGATCACACACAGGGCTCCTCCCCAGGGGGTCCTCCTGATCACACACAGGGCTCCTCCTCAGGGGGTCCTCCTGAGCACTGACACACAGGGCTCCTCCCCAGGGGGTCCTCCTGATCACACACAGGGCTCCTCCCCAGGGGGTCCTCCTGATCACACACAGGGCTCCTCCCCAGGGGGTCCTCCTCATCACACACAGGGCTCCTCCCCAGGGGGTCCTCCTGATCACACACAGGGCTCCTCCCCAGGGGGTCCTCCTGAGCACTGACACATCAGGGTTTGGCTCCTGCCCCCACGTTGGTCCACCTGCTGGGTGCGGGTGCAGGTCCCAGCAGGATGGATGTTAGGTCCCAGCCCCGAAGCCTGAGTCCAGCAGGGGAGACCAGGAAGGCAGGGGCGAGGCCAGTGGAATACTCAGAAGAGGTGGGGGTCAGCGTGGGGAATCAGGGTGGAGGCCACTCTCTGCCCACCTCCAGCAGGGCCTAAGGGCAGGGGTCCACAGGTGGCCACAGGACACGCCCGGCGCCCTCCCTGGCCTCTTGGACAAGCTGGAGAGAGTAGGCATCTTAGGCGGAACGCCTGTGGAGGGGAGCAGCAGAGACCCCGTGCTGTCCACCCACACGGGCGTGGCCACGGTGTGAACCCCCACTCTGACCATTGCTTCATGGTCAGATGCATGGCTGGGCTGACTTCGGAAAGGAGGACCCGCAGGCTCACCCCCAGCTCTGCGAGGGCGGTCACGGCCCTCAGTCCTCGGACCCTGGGTGGGGCCGCGACCATGGAGTAGTTACCTTGATGGCCTCCACCGTGGACGGCCGCTCTGGGGCACTGCGCTTGGCCATGTCCAGGAGGAGGGTCTTGAGCCTGCGTGGCAGCGCCAGCTTCTGGTTTCGGGGGACGCCGAACTTGGCTGCGGTCCACAGGACAGCGGCCACGCAGTACACAGCGGCCTGGGGAGAGAAGCGTGGTGCTGACCACAGGCCCGACCTGCCCGCCGCGGCACCCTGAGGGGCACCCAGGCACTGCCCCCGTAGAGCGTCTCTCCCCAGGAGTCCTCCCCAGCGTCGGCCGGGCCTCACCCTGGACCTGCCCATAGGCATCCGGATCGTGGCCCCGGAACCTGCAGGGCCAACTCCCCCCGCAGTTCTGTCCGAGCTTTAAACGCCCGAGGCGTGGAAGCCTCGACGGGGCCTTCCCGCCGTCCGCTCTGCGCACGCAGGCAGCAGCAGCCCGAGGGCCTGAGGACGGGCCGGCCCATTCCCGCCTCCCGGACCCCGCTCCTGGGGGCCCCGGCGGGCGCTGCGCTGAGCAAACGCGCACACGGCTCGCCTCTGTGTACACGCGTGTTGCTGACGTGAACGATGTGCAGCTCACAGTTCAACGCACGTTGTGTCAGTTCTGTGGAGCGGTGGACTCCCTGGAGGCTTTTGCTGACTTTTACCCACTTTCACCCACAGCCCACGGCAGTACAGGAGCGCGACCAAGGCGAGTGCTGGTGATGTTTTCGCTCATTTCAGTAAAGCAGGCGGAAGACCCATGCCGGGATTCGGGACGTCCTCCGAGCAACGTCTCTGCAGCATCAGACGGTTGCGGCTGACATGAGAAGACCCTGTTCTCTGTTTTGAGCTATTCACAGTGTAGCAGCTACGGGCATGGTTAAGTTCAGTCACGGTATCACTGTGCTCACCGTCACTTTGGTAAGTGCAGACAATCCACAGAGCAGGACATTCGTAGCGTCTGCGCTTTCCCCGGTGTAAACGCTCCCGTGGGGCTGACTTCCGGCCACCACCATGGTGCCCTGGAGTGCGGAGCTGGGGAGAGCAGTGTTTTCCAAATGTCCTTGCACGGCAGGCTGCAGGGAAGGCTGCTGGCTCCTGCTCACCTTCTCTGAGGCCACCTGGGGCCAGGCAGGCACTGGGCACTTCTCTGTAGTGTCACCAGGGTGAGTCCAGGCTCCAGGCTCTGGCCCTTGCTAGGCAGGGCCACAGTGCTCCTGTGGGGGTTTGGCTGGCTCACAGCAGGGGGCACTAACATACCCTGCTCCGGCCTGGTCCTTTGGCTACAGACCCAGGCTTTTGTTGGGGACATTTTATTTATTTACTTATTTTTTTGAGACAGGGTCTCACTCTGTTGCCCAGGCTGGAGTGCAGTGGTGCCATCTTGGCTCACTGCAACCTCTGCCTCCCGTGTTCAAGTGATTTTTCTGTCTCAGCCTCCCAAGTAGCTGGGACTACACATGCGCACCACCACACCAGGCTATTTTTGTATTTTTAGTAGAAAAAGAGTTTCACCACGTTCGACAGGCTGGTTTTGAACTCCTAACCTCAGGTGATCCACGCACCTGGGCCTCCCAAAGTACTGGGATTACTGGCTTGAGCCACCGCACCCGTACTGTTGGGGTGTTTATTTATTTATTTGAAACAGAGTCTTGCTCTGTCAACCAGGTTGGAGCGTAGTGGCATGATCCTGGCTCACTGCAACCTCCCGGTTGAAACAATTCTACCACCTCAGCCTCTCAGGTAGCTGGGCTTACAGGTGCGCGCCACTGCACCCGGATAATTTTTGTATTTTCAGTAGAGATGGGGTTTTGCCATGTTGCCCAGGCTGCTTTTGAGCTCCTGGGCTCAAGTGATCCACCCGCCTCGGCCTCCCAAATTGCTGGGATTGCAGGCGTGAGCCACTGCGCCTGGCCTGTTGGGGCTTAAATTTGTTAAAATTACTCAAAAAAAGCCTCATTTCTTCTTCAGTTTCCTGCCTCCGTGCTTCTGTCTCAGCACTTCGACAGCAATTTAGCGACGTTCCGTTCCCTGAAGAGGAACACACGCTGGATCCTGCAGGTGCACAGACCACAGGGGGCCGCTGCGGTGCAGAGGGTGCGGTTTCTGTTTGGGACAATGTCACAAGAGCTTCAGCTCTCACAGCACGACGCCCCGAGGTCGGCCTAGGCCACCTGCATTGGACCACACCTTCCCGCCTCCTCGGTGTAAAGGTGAGCGATCTGTTGCTGGGGTTCAGGAAAGCCTCCTTTCACGCAAGCCGAGATGGCAGGACAGCCCTGGACGGTCTGGCGACGGTGGAGCCCTCTGAGCTCCTCTAGACAACGTCCCCAGGAGATGAAAAGGCACAGCTGTGCCCCCTGGATTTTTCCAGTTGCTCCTTTACCTCCAAGTCTCAATGTACGAGACAGAAAGAAAACCCAGGGCACCCACGGCTGTGCTGCCCCTTTGTCCAGAGGCCCCTCACCAGCTGCCTTCTCCTCCTTCTGCAGATGGCCTGGTGCTTGTTTTCTGCACAGCGTGCAGGGTGCTTAGTGCAGGGTGTTTAGTGCAGAGTGTTCAGTGCTGGGTGCTTAGTGCAGGGTGTTTAGTGTTGGATGTTTAGTGCAGGGTGCTTAGTGCAGGATGTTTGTTTAATGCAGGGTGTTTAGTGCAGGGTGTTTGTTTAGTGCAGGGTGCTTAGTGCAGGATGTTTGTTTAGTATATGGTGTTTAGTACAGGATGCATAGTACAGGGTGTTTGTTTAGTGCATGGTGTTTAATGCAGGGTGCTTAGTGCAGAGTGTTTGTTGAGTGCACAGTGCTTAGTGCAGAGTGCTTAGTACAGGGTGTTTGTTTAGTGCATGGTATTTAGTGCAGTGTGCTTAGTGGATGTTTAGTGTAGGGTGCTTAGTGCAGGGTGCTTAGAGCAGGGTGTTTAGGGTGTTTAGTGCAGGGTGCTTAGTTCAGGATGTTTGGTGCAGGGTGTTTAGTGCAGGGTGTTTAATATATGGTGCTTAGTGCAGGGTGCTTAGCACAGGGTGTTTAGCACAGGGTACTTAGTGCTCCTTCTTGGTGGGAGGAGTGAGGAAGTTCACATTTTTATCTTCCCTGCGTAGACGCTCTACCTTAATTTTGGATGTAATTTATTTAATTGTGTTTAAATCTGTATAATTTAACCTTTAATGCTCACGTTTCACAAGTGCCTTATACCCACCCCTGGGTGTCCAGCCCTTGGTTCTCACGAGCCAGGAGGGGCAGCTCCAGGGCCACGGCCAGTGCCGTCCGCACGGGGCCCGGTCCTAGCTCCCTGGCCAGAGCCACGGCCCTGCTGGCAGATGCTGCCCACGACCGCCTGTCCAGGAAGGCCTGCCCTGACCCCAAGTCCTGACGGGGGGCTGCTGGACACATGGGGGATGTGGCGCCCCCAAGGGCCGGGGGCAGGGCTGAGGAAGGGTGGGGAGGGCCCAGGTACCTTTTCTGTGACCAGCCTCTCCTCTGCCAGCTCAGGAGCCAGGAAGAACGAGTCATAGGTGCCTAAGGGAGAAGGCCCGGCTCAGGTTTCCTCAACCCTGGCGAGCCGGTGCTACCCTGGGCCTGAGGGGACCCCGCAGGCTCACCATTGGCAGGGGGCGGCTGGAAGAGCACAGTCCCGTCCTCAGCGACCAGCACGGAGTCCAGACACAGGTAGGCTGTGGCAGAGCTTGGGTCAGGGTGGGCCTGCCCTGGCCCGCACTTGGGGTGGGCTGGGGGGGAATAGCTGGGGAGCCTTGGTCAGGCTGGGTAGCTCCCCAGCCTTCCCGTCGTACGGGCACACACTTGCCGGTGCACGCACACTGCCCGCCCCCGACGCCCTCCCGGGGTCCTCGGAGCTGCTCCTCCCAGCCCTCCCCGTGGGCAGCGCCGCCCGGCTGTCACCACGGCTGCACCAGCGCGACTGCGGCTGACGGGAGCTGAGTGGCAAGGACAGCGTGGGGGTTACGGCCCGTCCACTGAAGCCCCACCACAGGTCCCGTCCTCAGTCAGGGCCCACGGGGCAGCCACGGCCCACAGCAGTGGACACTGGAGTCAGGCCGTGTCTCCACGGCCCCTCCCCCAGCCTGTTAGACATGGCCCTCAGCACCCCAGGACGTGCCCTGATGCTTGGCAGGGCCGGGCTTTGACAGGGCACGGACCAGCGCAATGCTGACGATTCCTGCCCTGCGCCAAGGCCAGCGGCTCCTCCCTGAGACAACGTCCCTCAGCTGAGGGTACGTGGGCGGGGCTGCAGTGAGGGCCCCTTCCTCTTCGCAGCAGGCCCACCTTGTGGGCATCTGTCCCCGTGCCTCCCTCCGTGCCGCAACTCAGCAGGCACCCTCAAGGTGCTCCAGATGGGAGCTGCCTGCTGGTTCACCGGACACCCTATCCTTGGCTGCCCTGGGTGCCCTGGCTCAGGCAGGGTCCAGTCACGCACGGGGCGGGGGGACGCGTCACCTGGGTGTTGGGGGTGTGACTGCAGGGCGCGGAGGCAGGCCAGGCACAGGGCCCACAGCTCGTACTCCCGGAAGGGCCGGCCCAGCTGCGACAGGAGGTCCTGCAGGGACACGCGCTGTGGGCAGGAGAATGGCAAGGTCAGCGTGGACGCCCCGCACTGGGGCCTGCGGGGGGACAGGCCAGGGGGAGGCCCACTCAGTGCCCGAGCAGGTGCCCCCGCAGCTGACAGAGGGGCCAGAGAGTCCGTAAGTCAAGTCCAGCATGTGGGGGCCGTGGGGAGACTGGGGCCCTGCAGGTGGGAACGTCCCACGTTGCAGCCACCGGAGACGGCACGGCTGCCGTTCCTCCAAAAGCTCAACATGCACCTTCCAGGAGACAGCGGTTCCTCGCCGGGCACCCTTCCTGAGGAACCAAGGGCAGGGCTGGTGCCTACGAGCACACTCCAGTTCATGGCAGCGTGGCTCGCACCAGCCAGAGGGGGAGCACCAGGCGTCCACGGACGGATGCAGGGCAGCGTGGGTGGTGCTGGTGCTCAGCCTCGGGCGGGGGTGCTCTCACGCAGGCCGCCCCGGGGATGAGCCGTGAGGACAGCGGGCTCAGTGAAGCAGGCCAGGCACAAAGCACCGCCCACCCCACTCCCACGAGGTCCCTGGATGGAGCTCATGGAGGTGGAGGGCAGAACTGGGGGAAGGGCTGGGCCGGGGTGTGCGCTTTTGCTGGGTGCACCTTCTCATGCACGCACACCCCGACCGCAGGCATGTGCTGGGCCCGGAAGGCGCTCTCCGCCCCAAGGTGCTGACAGCTGGGACCAAAGCCCGCCCTCCACCAGGCCCAGCCACCCTGTGCCTCTGTGTGCCATCTGGAAGGGAGGCTGCTGTGCATGGGAAGGCGTGCCACCAGGTGGAGGGTGGCAGAGGGTGATGGGCACATATGCTCAGGATGTGCAGAAAAGCCTGTCACAGAAGGACCTGCGTTCTTGTCCTTCAGGTCAACAAGGCCTGGTGGGACAGGTGGCTTGAAGGCACCCTGGTCCCTGGGCCAGTGCCGCCTGGCAGACAGACTGGCACTTGGGCCCCTGGGTCAGGCACTGCCCGGCAGATAGACTTGCACCCTGGTTCCTAGGCCAGTATTATCCGGCAGGTGGACTTGCATGCGGCCCCTGGCTTCAGGTGTCCCTGCCCTGAAGAGCTCACAGGGACACAGCTGGGGGTGGCTCAAGGCGGGCAACGCATTTGGCCGGACTTGGCATCTTCAGCAGGACAGTGGGGCTGACGGGCCAGGCCCCCTAGAACACTGGCTCCAGCAGCGTCCTCCATCCCTCACGAGGGGCAGCCGACGGGGGCAGTGCTGGGCTGGGGAGGCCCCGTCCTGCACGGAGGCCACATCCGGGCAGCTGTACCATTTCCCAGCGTCCCCGCGGAGGCAGCGAGGTACCGACACCTCCTGGTGCCCTTCACCACCAAGCCCAGCGCATGAGCCAGCCTGATCCCCAGCGTTGGTATCTAACTTTTTAAACCATCAGAAGATGAGGGAGGCTGTGAGCGTCAGGATGGGGAGACAGAGCCCCTGGAAAGGCCTCTTGGAGCCAGGCCTGCTGGCCTTGCTTCCCGGATGAAAATTAACCCTTGGGACAGCCACGCAGGGCTGTGCAAGGTGGCCCGGGCGGGGCTGAGGAGGCGGCTGCCATCTGAGTCATCCAGAGGCAAACATCCACCTGAGAGGCCACGCTGGGCGACAGCATCCAACCACAGCCACAGCCACAGCTTCTTTCAGAAACGGGGCAGCTCAACCAAAATGTCTTAATTATTGAGTGAGAGTGAAGGTTGATTCCCCTCGTTAAACAAAGCTGTGGAGAAACATAGCCCCCGACTCACTGCCCGCTGACACCCCCACCCACACGCAAGGCCTGGGCACCCACCTGCTCCGAGGCTGCACTTCCTGGCTGCCTGGCGCCCTCCGGAACTCCCTCGTCATTCCCGGGAGTCTGGGCTTCACTGCTCCCATCTCGAGGGTCTGCGCGGCAGGGTGGGGGTCTGGCCTCTGCCAGCCTCAGGCTGGGATGTGAAGTCTCAGGCTGGCCTGGGCTGCCGGGTGCCCCGGGGACCCTGTCCACTCTGCGGCCTGCACAGGGCACCCTGCCCAGCTGGAGTTCCGGCTCCTGCTCTGGCCACAGCCTGCGTGTGGGCTGAGTCTGGAAGCCAGTCAGGCCATTTTTCCCATCCAGAAAGGCCTTCCTGGGGTCCGGAGGGAGGAATCCGGATACGGAGAGCTGGCTTTTCCTGTGGGTCAGCGGCAGGCAGAGGGCGGCCTCGGGGCTGTCGGGCAGCAGCCTGGGGAATGTCCGCACCTTCCGCAGGCGGCTTCTCCTGAGGGCGTCTCTGTCCAGCTCCCCGGCAGGGCACTCAGCGTCCAGGACGAGGCCGGCCAGCTCCTCCCGGCCATAGCTCTCGCCGTTTCTCATGGAGGAGGACAGCAGAGCCTTGGTTGGGGAAACTCTGGGGCCCTGGCTAGCCTCGGACTCTGGTCCTTCAGGGGCGGAGGGCGGGCACCGGCCCCCAGGGGCAGGCAGAACCACCGGGTCAGTGCCAGGGTCCCCAGGCGGCCTCCTGGGCCCAGCATTTCCTGGGGCATGTCTCTCCCGCCAGCTGCTCTCACTGACATCTGGACACAAGCAAGATGTGGTCACCGCAGGGTGCCCCTCCCCCCCACCTTCCCCCCCTCCCCTCCTACCCCAGCCGCCCCCACCACGGACTCCAGCACAGGTTGTCACTGCTGTCCTCTCTCCTTCCTTCCCCTGCCCTCCCTTCTCCTCTCCCGAGCCCCCACCAAGGAACCCAGTGCAGGCCGTCACCACCGCTGGGCACCCCTCCCCTCCCCCCACGAAGGACCCCGGCACAGACTCTCCTAGGAGAGGCTCCTGCCTTCCTTGATGGCCCCACTCATCACAGCATCCTGGCTCATTAGAGGCTGGGGCTGCCTCTCTCCCAGGCCAGGTAGGGCTCCCCACTGGGGCTTCCTATGGGCACCTGGGCCCACGTAATTGTCTCATCCAAAGGCATATTGCTTCCATGAGGACTGCACAAGTGAGTCCCCACAGGAAGAACCTGGATGACATGGCCACGGCTGTTAGCGGCCACCTCCCACACGCAGCGTGGTTCCTTCTCTGCTGCATGTGGCTCTCTTCTGCCTACTCCATGCTGTGCCCCTCCTGCAGCCACACAAATCCGGAGCTGCAAATGCATTCACTGGGCAGGGAGGGCCCTTCTGGCCACTGTGAGGCTCCTCGTGGCCGTCAACCCCGCCACCAACCCGAGGCCCTGCAGGGCAGTGATGCCGACACAGATGTGGCCACTGTTCAAAGGTGCCTGGGAGATGCCGGAGTCCGAGTGAGCCACAAACACCGCAGATGCAGCAGCTGCAGCTCTGTAACGCACCCGCCCGGCACCCGTGGTGGGGGCAGCTGAAAATCAGCTGTGAAACATCAATGCCTCCATTTATCGAAATGCCCATGAGACAAACACCCAGACGCTCAGCACCAATGCCACAACTTCTGGAGCTGCCCCTGAGTCACCTCTGCCTGTGTGGACGCCTGCAAGGCTTGCACAGGCAACACAATATGCATGAGTGTGGAAATGTGTGGACAGGGCCACGTGTGCGTGTGACCACATGTGAGGACAGTGTGCGTGGCAGGCCTGAGTGTGGAAATGAGTGTGTGGACAGGGCCACATGTGTGTGTGACGTGTGAGGACAGTGTGCGTGGCAGGCATGAGCGTGGGAGTGTAAATGTGTGCATCCTGGTGTGGGAGTGTGCAGTGTAAACAGGCCTGTCTGAATTTGCCTGAGTGTGACCAAGTGTGAATATGTGCATATGGACACGTGATCTATTTGAACACTCAAGTGTGACCGTGTGGGTGTCGGTGTGAATACACGAGTGTGTGTGTGATCTGTGTGAATGTGTGCCCATTATGAGTGGGTGTGTGCACAAGCTGTGCCTGTGTGCATGGGTGTATGTACAGTGTGTGTGCATGTGCGTACACAGTACACAGGGTGCACGCATGTGGGTTCAACAGCTCACCCTGAAGTGCTCCGAAGGACTCGATGGAGAGAACCCTCCTCCCCACGGCAGAGAGGCTCCGGCACACACGGCAGGAGCACAGGGGCTGCAGCTTCTCCTCACACAGCGCAACAATGCTCTGCGGACGTGAGAGCACCTCAGACAGGAAGGCTCGGAGGAGGGGCCGTCTCCTGTGGCCGCCCACCCTACGCAGCTGGGCCCTTTGAAGGTGACCACGGGGACAGTCCCCACACCCTGCCCGCGCCCGCCTTGCCCATTTTCTGGTATTTAAAAGGCAGCAGGTCTGGGTTGCAGAGAACCAGTAGGCTCATTACAAGCAAGACCTTTCATAAAAAACCAGATAATAAAAAGCCAAGGCCCCCTGCAAGCAAAATGCAGTGCCCGAGACTGGCGGCAGAACTCAGGTGAGGCTGCCAGGCGTGTGTGTGGTGGGCACATGGTGTCAGGCCTGTGGGGACGGTGTCACGGCCTGGGGTGGCCCACGGCAGCCTCGCCTACCTGGAGATCTGGCCGGTCTTCGGGGTCCTCCGCCTGCATCCGGCTCAGCAGCGCCTCCAGGTCCTGGCTCAGCCTGGGCTCCACGGTGGGCTCCGCCACGTACTCGAGGGCGGCCTTCAGCGTGGCCCCCAGGGAGTAGATGTGAGCCTGTGGGCACGAGGGGCCATCGGCTCCAAGGCCTGTGCATGTGCACTGCCCTGACCACAGCCACCACTTCTCAGGGCCAGGAGCCTAAGTTTCAGGGACCAGACCTACCCTTTGTGGCTAGGTACCTCCCCCTGTGGAGCTTCCCCAGAGAAGCAGCACCAGCGCCCATGCAGCCTATGCCCACGCCACCCTCATCCACGCTGCCCGCACCCCTGCCACCCACGCAGCCCATGCCACCATGCCACGCTGCCCTCATCCACGCTGCCTGCGTCCACGCCACCCAGAACACGCAGAACACGCAGGCGGCCGGACACATGACTCTTCTCCCTCCCGAGCTACACAGGCGGCCGGACACGCATCTCTTCTCTCTCCCAGTCCGGACACGCGTCTCTTCTCTCTCCGAGCGGTGTGCTGCCCGGCACCCTGGCTTTTCACGCCGGGAATCCTCTTCCAGGTCAGGAGCCCAGGCTGACTCTCCTTGCCCCACGCCTGGCCCTGCCTCCCCGTGGGCCCTTTTCTGCTTCTCCCCTACGCTCTCCCTTCTGCACCCTTCCCCGTGGCCCGGGCAGCCCGCCTGGCACACCGGCCATCCCCTGCTGGCCATCCCCACAGACTCGTGGCTGTGCGTGGCCTCTGGTAGGGACGCGGCTCCTCTCTGCCCTCTCATGGCTCAGTAGACACCGGCCCCAGCCACCATCTCTGCCTTTTTACCCTGGGCTGGGGCCCCAATGGCTGCTCTGCTGCCACCTCCTGGGGCCTCCTGTGCCACCTGGGGGGATCTGCCACCGTCTCATGCCTGGGCCGAGTCCGCCTCCCTGGGGCACCCGTGACGTGCGTGTCCGGGGTCTGTGCCCTCCATTCTGATCTGTGGCGGGTGCGTCCCACACTCTGCCACCATGACCGACGCTTCCATGGGTGTCCCAGGGCGGCGTCTGTGCAGCCATGTCACGTGTGCGAAGCCACAATTCTGGGAAGGGGATGTGGGTTCCAGGTCACGTCCACTTACATTCGGGCAGCTGCGGCAAACCCTCCTGACACACGACCGACCGGTTGACTCGCCAGCCGCAGCTGAGGCGCCCGTCTCTTGGGGAGACCCACTCGCGTTGAGCTAATTTGCATTTTTGTGATTATGAATGAGACCGAGCATCTGTTCGCGTCTACTTGGAGTTTTAATTTTTTTCTCTAAGGCCCGGGTGAGGACAGTGCATTCTCCGCTGGGCTGGGCCTGCCAGGTGCCTGTGTGTGTCAGGGCTGGCCTCGGCCTGGGCACTGCCCGCACGCTGGCTGGTCTGTTGCCGGCTTCTAAGGCTCTTCCTGTGTCTTCTCACACCCGAGAGCGCTAACGTGTGGAATCTGACCTGTTTTTCTTCAGCAGCTTCGTAGGACGATGCTCTCCGCCCCAAGGTGAAAGGGACAGCTCTGTTTTTGCTGATAGTTTTATAATTTTAAAATATCCAGACCTAATCTGTTTGAAGCCTCGCTCTCTGGGGTGTGAACCTGGAGAGACCCCTTGGCTGGCATGGTAAGGAAGGCTCCTCCTGCCCCCGAGACCCTGTCCTTGCAGCCAGGAGACTCACACTTGCAGGTCCGTCTGCGTGGTCGTGGGAGAGGGGCCCCTCAGAGCCCAGAGGACGCAGTTGACCCTCAAGGCACAGAGCCACCTGGAGCCTGCCTTGCACTGGTGCAGGGAGCTCTGCATTTCTGCCTTCCGGAAGCTTCTGACGTCAAGGACAGGGCACTCTGAAGGAGGGAAACGCAATTGTGTGCCGCCCACGGGGGTCGGGAGGCCGCGGCACGTGGGGACACGGGTGTCCACAGGAGCATGGAGCTGGAATCTGTGAATCCCACTGTTGGAATCTGAGGAACTGCAGTTTGAGCCGCCAGCTAAGAGCAGCCATTTGAGTGAGTATCCCTGGGTCATGTTGTCAGGAGAGTCCCCTCTCAGGAGACAAGGACACCAGAGGCCCCAGGACAGCAGGATGAGGCTGGACAGAGACGGGGCTGGACCACGGGCTGGCATCTGGCAGAGGAAGGGAGGCAGGGGCCTGCTCTCCAGGCCTGCGGATCGCAGAAAACCTTGTGCGATGTCCTGGGAGCACCAGGGTGCCCTGCCTGGCTGGGCTTGGCAGTCAGTGAGGAATGCAGGGTTGTAGGGCCCCACAGGGTCGCGGGATGTCCCTTATGCTGTGCTGAGGTGCAGGATCCAAGAGGTAAAGAGACAGGACACTGAAGAACTGGTGAGGAGCATCTGGACTCGGGGGCCACGCCACCTGTGAGCGGAGATCAACTGCGACTCCCAAATGCCCCAGAGCATCTGTGTTTATTCGGTACAAGCAGCAGGCCGGGTCGCGAGTGCGTGATAGGGCTTAGTGATAGGGCTCAGTGATAGGGCATACATAATCACGTGAGTCACAAGCGAGGGGGTCACCCCGTTATGTCACCTGGGCAGAGAGGTGGGCCGTGCGCAGCAGGGGGCCAGGCCATGTGCAGTAGTAGAGGGTCGTGTACAGAAAAGGGGTCCACCCCCATTAGGTCACCGAGGCAAGGAGGTGGGCTGTGTGCAGCAGGTGTCGCGTGCGACACTTCTTACCTGGGGGCTGGAGACTTCAAAGGGTTTCTAATAGAAGGATATTGGTGCAGTGGGAGCTGGCAGACGTGTGCTCTTCTCTTAAGATATTTATGGGAGGATTCTCTGAGCTAGCACAGAAGCGAGAAAAGACTGACAGGGTGTCCAGCCTCCGTGACTGGTCACGCCAGAGGGTTCTTCTCCCTCGGTTACTTCCAGGATCTCAGGCTTGAGGCCGACTTTCCACAGGAACTGGATGCAAGGTGCTACAGCTCCTTTCTCAGGAGGAGAGGCTCCTGCTCCAAGCCTGCCGTACAGCGTGTGCCCTTTCAGGCAGGGATACCACCACCTGGGTCTTGGGTTCTCGTCCTGGTCTGGCTGTTTTCCCATGTACTACTTCTGTCTGTGACTGCTCTGGGGATTCCTCCTACTACAAACTACTATATGGTTATATAGGAGGATTCTATAAATCAGCACTAAATGTGTCGGTACGGCTCCGGCTACAATACCTGTATGATTATATAGAAAGGTTATATGGAACTAAGTATATTAGATATAAGTACTAAGTATGATTATATAAGCTAAATATATGGAAGCAGTAAGTTATACTTTAGGCACTAATTCCATAAACTAATATATGGTTATATATGAAGGATTATATAAAGGAAATAGCTGAGTAGTAACACTATGAACTAAGATGTTCTTCAGGTGCTAATTGTGCTCGAGGTGTGGACAGTTCTCCTTCCTTGGTGCCCATGGTGGGTGTGACCCACAGGGGAACAGGCCAGAGGGGAGGCTGGTCAGGGCGCGGTCAGCTGGGCATGCAGTGGTCACAGCTTGGACTGCAGGGCGACAGGAACCCAGGTGAAGGAAGTGGAGTCTTCCCTTCCAGCTTCAGTGTGGTCTCTGGCCTGTGGCTGCCACTGCGCCCACCCACGACGGGCATCCCAGTGGCTCTGGCCTCAAGTAGGGACAGAACGTGGCCACGTGCAGGAAGCGGACGGCACACCCCGAAGCTTCCCCACGAGGTCTGACTTCCTGAAGTGCAGTAAAGCCAAATGGGCTTCAGTTCAGCGCTGGTTACGGTTTTTCTCCAAATTAAAAAGGCCACCTCTCTGTGGGGCGGGAAGCAGGTTCCCGGCTCCCAGGTGCCACGCCGGGAAGCTGTTCCTCTGCTCTGCCTGAGGTCCTTGGATCAGGGTTCGGGTCAGCCCTGGGAGGCTCTTCATGGCCCTGGGAAACGTTTCCGGTGGACTTGAGGCGACCAGTCAATGCTGCAGCACTGGGCCTCACAGCCTGGGCCGCACGGGGACGCTGAACCGCACGAGGACGCTGGACATGTGCCTGGGGGCCCCGGGCCACCTGGACCCAGACAGGCCCTCGCTGGCCAGGGCTCCGCAGACACGTGGCTGATCAAATCTGGGGCAGGGACCCCACAGAAGGGGCTGGAGTGTTCTGCCACACCAGGAAGGAGGTCCGAGCCCTGGAAGACCCGGGCACCCTCAGGGCACCCTCAGAGCTTCAACCGGAATCAGAACTGGCCAAATCCCATCAAAGACGTGTGAGTCATAAATTGACAAGATCACGAAGCTGAGCTCTGTGGTCAGCACTGGAGGACTGCTGGGACGCAGGCGCTGCCCTTGTACGGTGGATGGGAGCACAGCCTCTCTCCCGTCTGTCCATGGTGGCTGCTGCTGCGGCTGCCCGACGCCGACGAGGGTGGCTCTCGGACCGCAGGAGCCCCGCTCACAAACCGAGGCTGAGATCACCCTGGCGGCTCCAGGGATTTGTGGTGGCCGCTGACGGCTGTCAGGGAGCAGGCGCCACATGCCCCCACGGGCCCCAGGTAGCCACCTGAGTCCCACAGTGCCCCTGACTGCCCTGGACCTGGTCTCAGGGACAAACCACCAGGTTTCTTCAACAAAAACCCATAAGGAAGAAAGAGAGTCAGGGTGCGGGGTCAGACTCAGGACGCACGAACGCAGCCAGGCATGTGGCTCTCACCAAGATCCTGCAGGGAAGTGGCGGGAAGAGCAAGATTCGGGTGGCAGAGGGGGGACCCGAACCCTCAGTCCACACCCACCCAGGCCGAGAGTGGCTGAGAACGTTTCCAAGTGTTGTGGTATGTGTTCAGAGGGGCCTGACCTTTTAGAGGTGAATCTGAGACCTGTCAGCCGTGGGTCATTCCTGAGGCTGGGTGGGAAGTCGTGGGGTTCATATGCTGTTCTTTTTCTGTTTTCTGCACATTTAAAATGTTTCATCATGAACATTAAAAAATAAAATAAAAAGCACCATCCACTGGGAGCCTTGTCCTCACCCAAAGACCGAGACTGAGAATCAATCCAGTGCTACAAACATGCGCCATGCTACACATATGTGCCTGTGCACATACACTACACGCACACACACCACACCACACACATGCAAACGCCAT